ATGCTTCGTATAGATATACATGGAGTTCATTCATTTTCTACAGACCATGTTAAATCCTATGATTTTGAGGTTAAATGTTTCGGATCTAAAGGCAAAACAAATTGGAGTTGGCTGCTCAGAACCGTCAAAACCAAGCATGAACTGGATTCCTAACTTTTTACGGCAAGCCGGCTGGACGATGTAATCAGCTGATGGCTGATGACTAACGCAAAATTTTGCGTTCGTTATAAAGGGGTACAAAATATCCCAGCATTCAAAATATGTTCAAAAAATGATGCCCTAGTATAATAAGTGTCACACACTTGACAGTCAATGGGAATGACACATACGACGTCAGCGGCACGTAAAATTACGTTTGACAATTACGCGTAAAAATTCATTGGCGCATATCCGACTGCTGCCTCACGGCAGAGGCATCAGAGGGTCACCTGGAATTCCAGAATGTCCAATTTTTGTGCTTTGTGTTAAAAAGCGGCACCTGTTCGGCCAGCTTTGGGGGCCCTCGGAGCCAATAGGTCCTTCAGGACCCAAGGAGGGCCATGGCCCCGTGCCCCCGCCCCCCGCCGGCTCCGCCCCTGTTCCATTGCCATGTTTGCTACATTTTGCATATATGCAAAACAGAAGTACAGCCAACTTTCGGCGCTCGTTGAACCCTGATCGACGTGGCGACAGCTATCATGTCAGAAACCCGGTTTGCTGCAGCTTCCTCGGCAGCTGGTGCTGCTGCCAGATAGTTGCTGTGGGTATGTATATGGAGCGTAGGATCCCATGATCCCTTACCACAAACTTGTTTACAAGCGCATACCTGTGAGATGCACTGGCATGGGTTCGCTGAGTTCGCTTCACAGTAGCAAGTGCATGGCTGGTCGTATGGCAGCAAGCCGGTATACGGTGCGAACTTGGGCCAGCGACTGGCTTCGTTTTAAGACGAGCGCGCTGCCAAGCAAAACTGCCCGCTCTAGCCCGTTTGTTATGCCCATGAATCATAGTGATGTCATTGTAAGTATTTTTTCCCAATGAAATCTTAACTGTTTTTGGGTACTAAGATTTAGTCCTTAAACATGAAATCCTTCGATATCGGGCCGTTCCACTCGCAATGCGATTTGATTCAATTTAACAAATTTGGCCAGCTAATGATAGGCCGATTAAGAAACTCCGAGGTAAGAGATGCAGTTTCGCCGCACCATTCTTCACTGGATTGCGACCTATGCACTCATTCGGACAGCCTTGTAAAATTGTTGCTACGTTGTTACTAGCCGCATCCCTCCGACCCTACGAATCCCAGTCAGCCGCCGCCGCATTCCTAGCGTCACACTGGCAAACTACCGTTTGCGCGCGCGGCCACCGGGGGCGCTGCGGACGGCTCCGCCGATCAGCTGTATGGGCCGCCGGGCGCGCGGGGGGAGGGGCGGGCGTCGGAGCCTGCGCAGCGGCCCGGCTCCGCGTCTCTGAGCTATATCGACCGGGCGGTCCGGCCGGGCGGAGGTGTCTGTCCCGACGCAGCCATGGCGGAGAAAGGTCCCGTAAAGCGGCTGCCCATCCATCTGCAGGTGAGCTGCCTCCCCGGGCCAGCGTAGATATGGTGGACAGGGTGCAGAGGTCCCGTCTTCCGACACGCTCTTTCGCGGCACTGCGTGGTTGAAGCGGTTAGATTTTTGCTAGGCTCTCCCATTCAGTGAAGTGTTTGATGAAGAGGACCGGATGAGTCCACGGTTAGTGTGGGTTAGTTGGTTGGGCCTCGCTGACGAGCAAAGCACTTGCCGTGGGAGGTCTAGCTGTCGTGTTACACTATCGTTTCTTTGCCAGATATTGCTGTTTTGGAGCTATTAAACTCTGCTTCATTTCGCGGTGTGGTCTAGTGCCAATTATGATGCATAATGGATGAGTTAGACGCGACGCGTTTCCTACTAGCGTGACGTACGGCGCTGGCTACACGATAAGCTCATTGATGACGGTTCCACATCGTGCCATCAAACTCACCACCAATTGATGAACGAGCTAGCTGGGTCGTCATTCGGCAGCCGTGGGCGTCCGGCAGCCGCTCGGCAGGGCGACCTGACGCGACCGTGACGGCCGCCTGCCGTGCCGGCGTGGCGTGGCGGCGAGCCATTACGCCCGCAGCCGTAGTCTGGCCCGCGCCATATGGTGCTTCCCTGGACGTCCAGCCGCCGCGCGGGGCGCGGGAAGCGCGGACGAGCCTCCCCTGCGGCCTGGGCCGGGACCGGGCGAGGGCCGGGCGGGCGGGGTCGGACGGCGAGGGGCGGGGCGAGGGGCGTCCACCCGGCGGCCACGCCCGCTGACGGTCCGCCGTCGCGTCGGTCCGGCGCCGGCCCGTCGGAGTCGTCGCGCCCTGGGCCCCGGCAACCGCCGACCAGCGAGAGGGGTGGGATGGGGGGGGGGGGGGTCCCGACAACGCCCGTTTGGTCTGATGTCTGTTCCGTCTCGTTTGGTGGCGCGCGGCTGTGCGAATGAGCTGAGCATGGCGGCTGTTGGCGTAGTGTCGGGTGGGCGGGTGGTTAGTGTCGTATTGTCGGGTGGGCGGGCGGCTAATGCCGTAGTGTTGGGTGGACGGGCGGTTAGTTGTAGGGTTGGCTGGGCGGACGGCTAGTGCCGCAGGGCCGGCTGGGCGGACGGCTGGTGCCGTAGGGTCGGCTGGGCGGACGGCTAGTGCCGTAGGGTCGGCTGGGCGGGCGGCGGGCGGCGTGCCGGGTCACGTTTCTAGGCGACCCCGCGCTGTTGTGCCGCTCGCGCCGGCTCACATTCCTCCTTGGGCCGGCGGCCGACGTGTTGTGTGCAGAGCCGGCCTCTTTCCCTTTCCTCGCCGCCCCACAAAGCACGCGGCCGGGCGGTCCGACGCTGTTCGGTCTGCTCCGGACGAGGGCCGCCCTACAAATGTCCACCATGGCGCATACAAGTGTCCACTATGGCTCATACATAGGCCCACTGTGGCGATCGTGAAGAAATGACTATCCAGTGGTGCTGCTCATCAGGTGTCAGCGAATCGGATGACATCTTCAGGCTGTTCTAGTGTTCAAAGCTGTTTTCTTACGCGCACTGAGATTCAGGAAATGTATGGAGTTGGCAGCAGACCCAGCCGAATGTTCCGCCGTATAGCGAGGCACCGGACATTGAGTCAGCACCGCCCCTTCCTTGACCGGTCGAACGCTCCCGCCCGAAATCGATCCTCTGACGTTACCGACCGGCGGGCGCCGGGGCGTCGACCGGATCGGGGTCGATCCATCGGTCTTGATCCGGAGAGAACAGTGCTCACGCCCCCCTCCCCCGCCCCCGACCACCGTGCAAGGGCTCGTGGACCGTGCGGGAAATGTCTGGCGCGCGCCGGATGTGCGTCGCCGGCGCGCCGCCGCCGCCCCCGTGATTGATTGTGTTCCTGCTAGGTGCTAATCATGACCACAGCTGGCGCGCGTATGTGTGCTGCGCGCCCGCCGACGGCCATGTTCAGAGCGGCGAGTGAGTGACGACAACAGGTGCAGCTGCAGAACGAACCGGCATCTCCGTATGGGGTCGTTTAGTTTTGCTCCGCCGTTCGGGGCCTTCGAATGGCCGTGCCCGAGGGGCTGTGCGTTCATCGTCGGTCGGTGCTACGCCTGCTGTGATGTGGTCGGGCTTCTCGTGGTCCCAGAGGACTGTGAGAGAGCTGGGACAGTACCAGGCGAATGTGGAAGTCCCGACTCTGCCGCACACCCCGTAAACTCGTGAGAAACGACTTGGGGCACGGTACCGTATTTCAGGTACTCGCCGTTCGTCTGTTTCGTCCAGGCTAGCGCGATGCAGGACAGTTGAGATGGATTCAGCGAAAGAGGTTTCCTGCAGGACATACCGCTCAGCTCTCCCGATCGCCGAGTGACTGTGGGGCTGCTCTATACCAAACAGCTTGCGACAAAAGTCACCACCTCGAGGTCAAGCTGCCGGGCTCGTGACTCACTGAACGAGTTGTTTTGTTTCCCTGAGCTTTATTGGTATTTCATCGTGCATAAGCAACCAGATGATGCTCAAAACATGAGTCTTAACGTGGATCTCCCCTATCCAAACGATCTCCACATGGAGCACAAGCAGTTTACGTGATCCATCGGCACAGTGCTCAGTAGCGATGACGGCGCCCACCATGGGGCGCGGCTAATGCAATCAGGCCTCGAGCATGACGCAACGATCTCCTGCCGGAAAGGTTGCCGCCACGGAAATGTCGCCCTCAGACAGCGCGCGGACACGACAGTTGCCTGTCTTTTAAGTGCCAACAGCTGCAGATTTCTGCACTTTCTTTTTTTTCTCCGCCGGATCCCACCTTTACCGACGACTGAGGGGACGCTCGTGCCTGGACCGCCTCCAGCGGCGCCGGCGTGGCGGTGTATTTTTAGGCCCCGGGCCGGACGCCGCGGCCGACCCGCGCTTGTTGATCTGGGCGGCCGTGTTGTGAGCCAGGTGGGGTGAGGCATGATGTCGTCACGCCCAGGGGTAATGACCTTGACCCTGCCCGCTGTCATTAGCCTTGATCTTAGCTCCGTCCTGGACAATGACCTTTTTCCTCTTTGATGCGCTCCAGGGCTGGGACATTTGCCACGCTGCATACTCAACCTGATGGCTGCTTGCTTTCCTTCTCACAGTGGGCTAAAGCGAGCAGTGATACCAATTCATGTGGACCGACGGTATGGATCGGGAGCATAGACACACAATCCCAGAAGAAAGGGTTATCTCTGCAAACGAGCCCCTTTGTACTGGCACTGCTTTGCCTGAACCTGTTCTGCACTGTTTTTAGTCATCTTGCGTAAAAAGCGAACGAGGTAGATCTGTTGTCAGCTGATACATTTCAAGGACCTGCGACACAACTGTCGCTTGCAGTGATTTGGGCCCCATTTGTATGGCCTTTCCGCTCTTCGTACTCAACTTTTTATGGAAACTGATGTTGTGTGCTTAAGCTAAATATGTCTGCTCTCGCCTTTCGAAAAACGTTCGAGTAATGCCAAACTCCCCATCCGTTGCAGAGTGCGCAGAACCGCATCCTCATCAAAGGAGGACAGGTGGTGAACGAGGACCATACCTTCTTCGCCGACGTGTACGTTGAAGATGGCATCATTAAGTAAGTATCACGTCATTGCTCACTGGTCTCACGCTTTGGAAGTCGACTGCGCGTCTAGCGTAATCTCGTGTTGCACATTTGCAGTGTACTGCCATGCTTCGTTTGTTTTCCTCTCTCGGTGCTGGTCATGGCCTACCAGCGTCACACGGTATCAAAGCGTGCAAGGGCCGCTGCTGCTGCACGCTGCACCAAACCACCTTTCCGGATGGCGCAAAGCGTGGCCCCGTCAGTGATAGCGCTCGGTCTGTGTACGGCTCCCACCGAAGACGAGCCGCGTCTGTGCACACAGCGCGGCTGCATGTTAATGTGCTCTGATAGCGCCAGATGCTCCGTCTAATATGCAACGGTCCGCGCCGGCCCCGATCAAAGTCAGCGGTCGGGCGGCCCGGCGGCCCCAGGCTCCTCGTCACGACCCTCCCCACCTCCCCATTTGAAGCGGGCGCCCGCTGGTGAGGGCTCCCGGCTGAGACAGCCGGCAGGACGGGCATCTGCAGTGCGTATGGCAGCATCAGCTGCCAGCGCCGCCCGCCGTCCCGCCGCCGGCTGTCCGAGTATCGCTCCCGGCGGCGGACTGGGGGTGGGGTCAGGGGATGGGGGTTCGGGTGAGGGAAGGGGTATGGGTGAGGAGGGGAGGGGGTTGGCGTTGGGTTGGGGAATACAGCGAACTGAGCGCCGATCTGCCGGAACGCGAGGAACGATAGCGTCGTGGACCCAGCTTCACCTGAGAATGCCGAATATCCGGCGCGCGCCACCCAGCCTGTGCTGTCGGCGTGTGCAGCCATTGATGCGCCCGGCTATGGGCTGCCGCGTATGTTCAGCTGCGTAGGAGCTCCGCCAGATGGCTCGTGTTTGCAGAGCCATGCCTAACGGGCTGCAACTCTGCTGTACTGGTCGTCGGCTGTCTTATATTCCTCCAGACATTTACGCGCCCGCCCCCCCCCCTCCCCCCGCCCAGATGTAGGCTCCCTTCTGCCCTGTTTTTGAGATGTTCAGCGCGGCTGACTGCGAGCTTCCTCGCGCCGAGCTGGGCGGTGCTCTCCTCTGCAGGCTATGCGGGGCTCGACGTGCCCAGCTGTGGATCTGCCGCGCTGCGCTGGCTCTAAGTGGCCGTGCGTCGCCTGTCGACCCAGGTGCCGTGCTGACTGGCCCAGGTGCCATGGGTCCGTCGGGCACCGAATGTAACGTGGCTTTCTGCTTCAGGCAGCTGGGGCAGAACCTCATCACGCCCGGGGGAGCCCGCGTCATCGAGGCCAAGGGGAAATACGTCATCCCAGGTGAGAGCTGGCGCATGAGAGGTCTCTGCTCTGAGAGCGGCCGGCGGCCGACGTCGCTTGGCGCATGAGAGGCCTATGCTCTGAGAGCGGCCGGCGGCCGGCGGCCGGCGGCGCCTGGCGCATGAGAGACCTCTGCTCTCCGGCGGCGGTCGGCGTGTGGGAGGCCTCTGCTCTGTTCGTGTCACATGGGTGATGCCAATTGATGTGCCGCTGTTCTCTGGTAGTTGAGAGCTGCTTGTCAATTAACGTGCTCCACATCGTAGCATGTTTCATATTCTGCTGTTTTATTGCTCACGATCTGGACAGGAAAATGTGCATGCACTCAGATGTACTTTGTCGCGTTTATCACCCTTGACATTTGTTTCGTTTCGGTTGGAGTGCGTTCCAATTGCTGCTCTTTAGCCTTCTGCGCTTTTAAGAGTCATAGATTTAAGTGTGGCTCCGCCTCCATAAAGTTAAATGTTCCTCAGTTGGTCTACCGTTCGCCCAGTTTGTGTTCATTAAGTGATAACTCACCAAAGTTCCAACCGCTTCAGTTACGACTACCAACCACTGTGATATATGATAACCACGTTGACGTGAAAACACTTTGTGAATCCCATTGGTTGAGCATAAATCACGACAGGCCCCATGACAAAGCACTCGATTTCACACAAATTGTGGCAGACTCCGGTGAAGCCGAGTCGACTCGGTCTTGTTTCCTTAAAGTAATTTCCGTTGGCCATTTTCAAAATGTCGCTCCTGCGCGGCGCCGCCGTGCGACAAAGCCGTCGCCGGCCCCTGGTCCAGAACTCGTCGCCCGCTCCCTGGTACGACTCCGCGCGGACGTGTCGTGGCCTGTCGGCACACCTCTGCCGGGGTCCTGCCTGGGGCCGGCCAGACCCCACCGAGGACTAGCCTGGTTCCCGGTGGGCCCCGGGCGGGAGCAGGCCGGAGCCGGCGGGAGCGGGCCAGAGCTCGGCGGGAGCGGGCCGAAGCCCGGCGGGAGCGGGCCGCAGCCCGGCGGGAGCGGGCCGGAGCCCGGCGAGAGCGGGCCGCAGCCCGGCGGGAGCGGGCCGCAGCCCGGCGGGAGCAGGCCGCAGCCCGGCGGGAGCAGGCCGCAGCCCGGCAGGAGCGGGCCGGCGCTCGACGGGAGCGGGCTAGCGCTCGGCGGGAGCAGGCCGCAGCCCGGCGGGAGCGGGCCGGCGCTCGGCGGGAGCGCGTTGCGCCGACGGGTTCCCGATGCAGCGGCACGCCTCCACGCCGGAAACGGCGGCCAATAGGGTAGTGTCGTGACGGGGCGACGGCGGCGGCCGCACGCGGCGACGGGCAGGGGCCTTCGACCGCACGCCAGGGTGGGGTCGGCTCTGTTTGTGGACAGGAAGCGGCAGCAGCTCCCGCATCGCGTGGGTTGATATTAATGAAGCCGCTTAGCTGGACAACTACGTGCAGAGCCCTGTTCTTCATAAGTCAATCGAAGCCGATTCCTTATTTCGGGCAGAGCCCATTCCTTACATATGTAATCTATGACTCCACCTTAATGGACGGAGCTCGAGTCGTAAGTGAATGAGGGCTGGGGTCAGGGTAGACCGTTAAAATGGCCAGTTGGAGGCAGGGAGCGGCACTGCGCTCTACCGAAAGTACCGAAATACCAAAGAGTACCGAAATTTTCCTTTTCGCGCCGAATTGACATATTTGTGTAGGAATATATCCGCCTCCATCGTTTGAAGACTGCCCGCCAGCTGCAGACCAGAGGCGCGTGGACAATGAAGCATCGTTTACGGCCGTCTTGCGGCAGTGACTAAGCCGCTGGCGGCGAGGCACGCCACAATGGCGCCCACAACCAACCCCCATACGCTGACGTGCGTCACCGGCTTGTGCTGTGGCCGGAGCCGGCCCGGCGCCCCCGACACGTCACAGACGACACAAGCGGCGAGACGCCTGCCTTACGGCCGCGCCAGCCGTCGCGGAGCGCGGCCCGTGTCAGGGCCACGGCCACGCAGCGTGGTCGATACGGTGCACAAAGGCGACCCGTGCTGACCGTCGCCTGTATTCCGCGGCCGCCCGCGCGCCCGCTGCTGTGTCGGCTTTCACGCCAGGCGACCGCGGCGTGCTGGGTCAGTCAGGGTTCGTTGTGGCCGTGCTGCGGGCAGCGGCGGGCGGCGGTGTGGTCTGGCGCTGTTTTTGTCCAGCTCTGTTGCGGGGCTTCGCCGCAACGCGGGCCGTCTGATATGACCGCCGTCCGCCGCTGTATGGTATTTGTCTGGCGATTGTCGGACCAGTGTACCGTTTCACCGCACTCCTGAGCCTATTTCTTGTGATGTTTTTATGGCGGTTGCCCGCAGCAGTTAATAGCTTCCAACGGACCGGGTTCTGGATCTAACCGGCCCTCGATCATGTTAACTAGCCGACATCCATACATAAGCCCGCTTCGCTGATGGATTATAGTAGTTCAGTGATATATCAAACCGACGCAACAGCCTGCCATTTTGGACGACGTCTACTTAGATACCTCAGCGTTGCGTCTTCTGTGAGTTCTGTCTCTCTAACACATCGCATCCCGCTGTCCTTGCCTGTTCTTTTGTCAGTCGGCTGTCTCTGCCTGTCCCTCCGTCAACCCGCCATCCCTGTCTGTCCTTTCGTCACCCATCTGTTTCTCCCCGTTCCTCTTTCAGCCGACCGTTCTGTATGTCCCTCTTCTAGCTTTTTATCTCCCCGCCCCCCCCCCCCCTCAGTCCTCTGTCGCTCCGGGTATATCTGTCAGGCCGTCGTCCTCACCCGTCCCTCTGCCCGCCCGCTTCCCCCCCCCCCCCCCCGTCCCTCCGCCAGCCTGCTGTCCCCGCCCATTGCCCCGCCAGCGTGCTGCCCCCGCCCGTCGCTCCGCCATTCTGCTGCCCCCGCCTGTCCCTCTGTCAGCCTGTTGTACCCGCCCGTCGCTCCGCCAGCCCGCTGTCCCTGCCCGCTCTTCCTCTAGCCCGCTGCCCCCGCCCGCCCCTCCGCGAGCTTGCTGCCCCCGCCCGTCCCTCCGCCAGCCCGCTGCCCCCGCCCGTCGCTCCGCCAGCCCGCTGTCCGCCAGTCCGCCCTCCCTGTCCGTCCCTCCGCCAGCCTGCTAATCCTGTCTGTCATTACACCAGCCCGCTGCCCCGCCCGTCGCCCCGCCAGTTCGCTGTCCCCGTCCGTCGCCCCGCCAGTTCGCTGGTCGTTGTCCCGCCGGTTCGCTGGTCCGGCCCGTCGCTCCGCCAGTCCGCCGTACCCGTCCGTCTCCCCGCCAGCCCGCTGTCCCCGTCCGTCTCCCCGCCAGCCCGCTGTCCCTGTCCGTCGCTCCGCCAGCCCGCTGTCCCTGTCCGTCTCCCCGCCAGCCCGCTGTCCCCGTCCGTCTCCCCGCCAGCCCGCTGTCCCTGTCCGTCGCTCCGCCAGCCCGCTGTCCCTGTCCGTCTCCCCGCCAGCCCGCTGTCCCCGTCCGTCGCCCCGCCAGCCCGCTGTCCCCGTCCGCCTCCCCGCCAGCCCGCTGTCCCCGTCCGTCTCCCCGCCAGCCCGCTGTCCCTGTCCGTCTCCCCGCCAGCCCGCTGTCCCCGTCCGTCTCCCCGCCAGCCCGCTGTCCCCGTCCGTCGCTCCGCCAGTCCGCCGTACCCGTCCGTCTCCCCGCCAGCCCGCTGTCCCTGTCCGCCGCTCCGCCAGCCCGCTGTCCCTGTCCGTCGCTCCGCCAGCCCGCTGTCCCTGTCCGTCGCCCGCCAGTTCGCTGGCCCTGCCCGTTGCTCCGCCAGTCCGCTGTCCCTGTTCGTCGCTCCGCCAGTCCGCCGTCCCCGTCCGTCTCCCCGCCAGCCCGCTCCCCGTCCGTCGCCCCGCCAGTTCGCTGGCCGTTGTCTCGTTCTGCCGGTTAGCATGCCTTGGGTGGCAGCGGCCGCCGCCTCTTTGTTTGCCGGGAATAAACAGAGAACAGCGGGACGGCTGCGGGCCGGCAGACCGGTAGACCGGCAGACCCTGCGGGCCAGGTGAGACGAGCGAGCTCGTGACGGCGGTGCAGCTGCCGCCAGCGCCACCTGCGCCCGGATGCGCCACCTGCGCCCTATCATCGTGTATGACGCCTGCGCGGAGACACTGCTCGGCGCTATGTGCAGTTTGACCTAGTGTCTGTGGCAGGTGACGTGCGGGCTGTTGTTGATGATTCTCGCTGAGGGCGGGGAGCTGGTGATTATTTTGGCTATAGGGTAGTGTATTGTATCGTGCTTTAAGCGGATGCATAAGTACGTTCACCGGTGTCGGCAGAAATTTTATCAACACCTGATCATTGTTTTCATCCACGAATGGAGACATATAGACGTGTTTTAGTTTGACTTTTATTTATCATACGCTTTTGGTGAAGACTGGAACTGACGACACTAATGCCTTATTGGCCGTGATCTATTGAAGGAAATCCCTGAATCGAGATAAGTGTCATGTAACTAAGCCAGGAACTAAGCCAGAGCTTTTCATGATGACATGTAAAGATATAATGGGAACGTCGTGCCAAAGGCAGACCAATACCCACCCCATATTTCTGTCTATGCAGCTTGTCATTGAAAACGATAAAGGAATTCGTCGCAGCGAACTCGAGAGAAGACCTGAAATTTTTAATGGTTATTCCTATCGCATCAGTGGTTGTCGAAAGCAAAGCTCGCACACAGATGTCGATGGTCTCTTGCAGTGGAAGGTGGGTGAATGAACTAAATACTTCGAAGCTGGCCATGAATATATTACCATCTACTTGTACGCCTGCCACTTCATTCGCGAGTTCGTAGGAATTCCTGTATGGAATCCCTATGAATTAGGGACTATTTATGAGGGAGTGTGCCCATTTTTGTGATATAGTTAAGCACAGGAACCAGAAATTTAGCTAGCTGTTGACGCGGAGTGCCACAAGCGGAGAAAAGCAATAAGTAGCGAGAAAGATCATAGAACGGTCATAACCACTTGTTATCGCAACAGGAAAATTTCCAACTTTTCACGAGAATTAGTGTTGACAAACAAGCTCATGTGTACCAGTGTAGTGTATCAATTCAACTGTAATCTCGAGGGCTGCAAGTTTCGTTCCATACACCACATTGGCGTAACCACGACAGCCTCACGACGCCTGACAAAACGCTGAGGTGCTGGGGCACGTCTGGGCCACTTGCAACACGAACGTGACGCGCCATTAACACAACAATTGACGGACAATACTGACATCCTCCAGACGTGCAATCACAGCGAACGCCTTCAAAGTTGAGAAAGCACATTTATCAACTAATTCAATTAATTCTATCAATCCTGAGCAAAAATGCATGCATATATGTGTATATATATATATATATATATATATATATATATATTTGTATATACACTAAACGTGGGCTTAAAATGGCCTCGATGCCAGTGTCCCTCTCGGTGAATGGGTGCTCTTGTTGGCATCCGTCAAGGGAGTCGGGGATCACGCCTAGCGTACTTCCGCCTTTGGCCCTGAACTGGCCAGCAAGGTCCGCGCTTATGATGTGGTCCTGTAGGCATTCGCTGATGCCGTTACTCAACTCACACGCAGCTTGGCTTGCCCGACATGCCATTTTTTATTTCCACCGCATTATGTGCATGTGCTCGGCTGTGCGTGATCTCTGCCGGAGATTCCCGCACAGGTAGTCCTGTCCGCACAGGTAGTCCTGCCCGCACAGGTGGTCCTGCCCGCACATTGAGTCCTCCCCGCACATGTAGTCCTGCCCGCACAGGTAGTCCTGCCCGCACAGGTAGTCCCGCACGTTGTGCCGTCTCCTTGCACGCCACGCCGCCTGCTTGCACGCCTTTGGTCCTCCGCAGACGCCCTCCACATCCATAATGATCTTCCCATCCGCGCGTCAGCGACCTCACACAGCTTCTGATTCTCCAGCGCCGCCAAGGACTGCGGCGGCGCTGGAGAGTCAGACAAACGCCAATGGCTACCTGTCTATCTAGCCTACCTTCTCGCAGTCCATGGTTCTGGAATCTCCCGAATGCTGCTCCGGGCGAATTGCTTTCATTATCACTAAAGGTAAAGAAGACAGCTTGGCAAGGCCACCCTCGCGTGTAACCCGAACCCGTCGCTCCCCGGCAGGCGGCGTGGACACGCAGACGCACCTGCAGCAGCCGGTGAACGGCACCGTCTCCTCCGATGACTTCTACACGGGCACGCGCGCGGCGCTGGCCGGCGGCACCACCACCGTGCTGGACGTGGTGATGCCGCAGCGGGGTGAGCCGCTGCTGGATGCCTACCACAAGTGGCGCGAATTCGCCGACAAGAAGGCCTGCTGCGACTACAGCCTGCACGTGGCCGTCACCTGGTGGTCTGAGAAGGTATCACAGCTTCGCGGCCGGCTGAAGGAGAGGGTGCTGGTGATGCTGGCCGTTTCTAGAACAGTGGTGTGTGTAGTGGATCGGCTACTGCAAATGTTGCCATCCAGTGGATTGCAACCATAGCAGCAAGTTGTCCTTGTTCACATAGCAAAATCGTACACATTGTAATTTGGTTGCATTATGTCTCCTCCAGGGGTCAGGCATAATGTTTCATAAATACATGTGTGCTGCTTGTGCATATTTCTGACGCATTCCGCTCTCCACAGGTCAAGCTAGAGATGTCTGAACTTGCTTCTGAACATGGCATCAACTCCTTCAAGATGTTCATGGCCTTCAAGGACAAGTGGCAGCTGTCTGATGCTGAGCTCTTGAAGGCGTTCAGCCACTGCAAGCAGATCGGTGCTCTGGCTCAGGTGCACGCAGAGAACGGTGACGTCATCAAAGAGGTACGCCAGCGGAGCGTTTGGCCTAAGCTGTCGTGTTGGTCCGCTGATCCGGCACATGAACTGCATGAATTGACGGCCGACGATGCACTTCCCTTGTTCCATTGCGAATTCATGCAATTACAGTTAGCTGCGCAGCGATTTAATTAGTTGCGCTGTCTGACAGTTGGCGACCCGTGTCCTTGATAGCTAATGTAACGGCTTTGATTTCCCTTGCTCCGTGCAACCTGATTAGTGTCGCGTCGACGTAACATTCCAATGACCCCGATGTCACCGTGTGGGCGCTCAGTGAGCAGGCAGTCATGTCTGCAAACATACCCAAAATAAACGAGTCTATCAACAAAGCTATGGTTCCGTAATCCGTTTCATGCCTGACGATAACCCATGTCCGCGTCGGACGACTTAGCAAAAGCTCCTGCGTTGACAGCTGCCCCTGACCATGTCCCCCCTCCCCTCCCCCTCAGATGACGGAGCGCCTGCTGGCGGCCGGCGTGACCGGGCCGGAGGGGCACGAGCTGTCGCGGCCGGAGGAGGTGGAGGCCGAGGCGACGCTGCGCGCCTGCGTGCTAGCCCACCAGGTGGGCTGCCCTCTGCACGTGGCGCCCGTCATGTCGCGCTCCGCTGGCGAAGTGCTGGCGGCGCGGCGCCGCCAGGGCCACCTGGTCGGCGGCGAGGCGTGCGCGGCCGCGCTCGCCACCGACGGCACGCACCAGTGGAACCGGTGCTGGCGGCACGCGGCGGCGCACGTCACCAGCCCGCCGCTGCGGCCCGACCCGGCCACGCCCGAGCATCTGACCGGCCTGCTCGCCAAGTGAGTGCACCGCCGCGAGCCAAGGCACGACAGCGATGTCGTCGGTGAGGAGGTGGCCTCGCTTTGTGTTTGCCCCGTTGGCTCGCGGTTCGCAAGCTGGTGGCAGGCGTGGGTCGAGTTTTGAACCCTGAGATGGGGCTCTCGTTGCCATGCGTACCTTACCGCCTGTAAAGTAGCAAAATCTATTTGTGTTAGAAGTGGCAGTTAGGCCTGATCAGTGGATTGAATGTTCGATGTTAAATCGTCATAATGTAATGGAACATTTCGTCGCATAGCTTCCGCAATGTTGTGATAAAATGCGCATTTCCGTGCCATTACCGTACGTCCTGGTGTAGAGCGGAGCTGGCATGATCTCATCGACCTGCTCGTCCTCTCTGCAGCGACGATCTGCAGTGCGCGAGCAGCAACCACTGCGCGTTCACGATCGAGCAGAAGGCGGCTGGCAAGGATAACTTCACGAAGATCCCTCAGGGCGTGAACGGCATCGAGGACCGCATGTCCATCGTCTGGGAGAAGGGCGTCGCCTCGGGCAAGATGGACGTCTGCCAGTTTGTGGCCGTGACCAGCACGAACGCATCCAAACTGTTCAATCTCTATCCGCAGAAGGTATGTCCAATCTAAATGGCACAGTCGCTGTTGAGCATGAAAAGCCGTCGCCAAGGTTTCGGAACGTGTATTGCGCATTGTTCACAGCTACAACATCTTTGCTACGGCTCTGAGATCACGGCCGGTAGGTCGAGCGTCGGAAACTTTACCGTAAATTGTTTTCCTTACAATGGGACAAACGGCACAAGCTTCCGCTACCGATGCTCCGCCGCGTGCTGTAGAGTAGCCAGCACGAGCGAGCGCAGACCGTGACACAGCCCTACGCCCACCAGGGCGTGATCGCGGTCGGCTCGGATGCCGACATCGTCATCTGGGACGGACAGGCCAAGCAGACGCTGTCGGCCAAGACGCACCAGGAGCGCCTGGACTTCAGCGTGTTCGAGGGCCTGCGGTGCCGCGGCGCGCCGGCCTGGGTGCTGGCGCGCGGCCGCCTCTGCCTGGAGGAGGGCCAGCTGCGTGTGGTGCAGGGCGCCGGCCGGCTGCTGGCGCGGCCGCCGTTCGCGCCGCACCTGTACCGGCGCGTGCAGCAGCGCGACACGGCCGGCCTGCCGGCGCCCGTCAACAGGGACGGCGTGCCGGACGATGCGGACCCGCCGGTGGTGGACGTGTCCAACGGCGTGCGCCGCGTGGCCGAGACCTTCTCCGGGAGGCCGGCGGAGGATGTGGAGTCGCTGCCGCCGGCCGAGGATGAGTTTCACAGCCGCCAGGAGCCGGCCGAGGGCGTGCGCAACCAGCAGAACTCTGGCTTCGCCGTGTCGGGTGAGGACCAGCTGCCGCGCGGTGAGCCTGCGTGTCTGAATGCCAAGTCATTTGTCATTGTTGGTTTTTTACTGTACTCGTTTGGATCCATCGTGCCTCTTGCGTTGAGATCCTGGTCGTGCTGTGGGGTGTTGGAGGTGTTGATATCTCGCTTGGATGAGGTGCATTGATCGTGAATGCAGTAGCCAAGATAATTTGATCAAACTATCCTTATTTATAATTTGCCTGTATCATGACACGGACGTATACGCCCTACCTACCTGGAGTTACCATCCTGCACCGCTTCAAGGGCGTTTCTTTGTTTGGCTTCACAGGAGCTCAGATCGATGACAAGGCCCCGAAGAGAACCGGGGTGAAGGTGCACGCTCCGCCCGGAGGCAAGTCTGCCGGCAGCTTCTGGTAACCACAGCAGACCTGTCAAGCTCCGGTCGGCTGCGCACCAGCCGGCGACTGCCCTGCAGCAACTGGTGAGCCGCTGGCAAGAGCATCTTATCTAGCAACGCCCCAGTCGGTAGCCCTGGAGCACGGGCAACTATTCCACGCGGTGTCCACGCACGACTCGAGCGACACTGCCGGTTGAAGACGCTGGGAGCGCCACCACTCTGCCCGTTTGCTGGTCCGGCTGTCAACGTCCAGGACGCTCGCAAACGCGAAGAGTGGTGTGGAGTGTTCTAGCGTGCTGGTCTCAGTGCAGTGTACGCCAGAGCGCTCCACCCGGGCGGGTCCGCAGACGTAAGTACACCCCTGTGTGCGTGTGTGCTGCGCCTGCGTGCGCGTGCGTGGTGCGCTCCCAGATGTGGCGTTTGCACCTCAGGTGGCGCCTGTTCCGCGACCCAGGACCCCGCCAAAGAACTGGCTGCTTTGATTCCCCCCGCCTTTGCTTCCCATGCCGGGGTTGTATGGAGGTTGGTCATCTGGACTGGTCCGAATGATTGGCTGCGGTGTTAGGCTGACGAAGCGGTGCAGAGGTGTTCGCACGCAGCTAGGTTTAAATTACCGGTTTGAAAAGTAGCTACGTGTTTTGGTTGATGGACCGAGATGAACAGTGTCTTGCTGGATGTTTTCGAGGAGTGTGGTGGAGAGTGATGATGCGGTCTGGTGCGGTCATGCAGGGAGAAGCCAAAATGGATGCACGTAAAACATTTTCCTAGCGTTTGATACCGCGGTGTTTTCACACGAACTTTGGCAGCTGCACTGTCTGTGGGCATTTGGTCGAGTTAGACATGCTGGCACCTTGTACCCTGTTGCAAGAAGTGGCAGCCTGTGTGCACGGTGATGATGCGCCGACGTAGATCTATGTCCGTCTTCTTTTCATGCTAGGATGTTTCCTTTTGCTTGCATGATGTTGCGCACGTTCAGGCAGTGTGCCCGCCGAATCTTAAGCTTTAGTGTGTGGTTGTTGTCGAAATGCGTCTGTTAAATATTTGTTTGCAACTTCTGCTAAAATAAAAATCCTAGTCGGATGAAATTTTCTGCACGAAAAGCAACCGGCAATTTTTAAATGTATGCGTGGTCGCGTAAATGGTATAAGTCGTCATGCGTTACGTTTACTGCGGAATCCCGATGTTCATTTGTAATGCAGTGGGAAGATTCCAATGATTATACCAGCATTACATCACCCAAGGTATACAGGGCCTTGGATGGCACCATGTTTTACCTCGGGTGCTACATGCCCTTTACATCCTTGGTGCATGATTACTGTGTATCGCTCGAGCTTACTCATTCCTTCGCATTCGTAAAATGAAACCATGGAGTTCAGAAAAAAGATCTTGGTCATTTCCGCTGCAGACGTTCATTATTGTTATACCAGATTGGCTTTTACAGCACAACACATACGAGAAAACATGGGCTGCGCATGTTTCGGAGAGCTGAGCTACGCCCACGCGCCTGTCTGACCGACGTGACTAGACCGGTTGAACCGGTTGAATCCGTGACTAGACCGGTTGAAACGGCCGTGACACAGCGGCCTTCATTTGACGGTGGAATTTAACCATTTGAAGGTAGATATGCGGACGCAGGAGAGACTGGTTACCATCGCCACACTAATGACAGTTGGCTGCCGCCACGGGCTTTACCACAGGAGAGGGGCGGCGGAGATGCAACCCCATCCAACACGGCTCAGGTTAGCGTGAAGCCGGCGTGCGTTGTGAAAAGAAAAGGGTTGAAGGCCGCTATGCCACCCAGCCTTTGACAGATAGCGGAGCCTGGATACTGGCACACAGAGGTCCGCTCTGACGTAGGTACGAGGCGTCTGCGAGCAATCCGGCGCTGAAGGTCCCAGCAGGCAGCAACGATAACACGTAATGCGAACATTTACACCGAAGCAGAGCTCCAGTTAGCAACAGAATGGCTTCCGCTCGTCCGGCCTTCGAGTCAGCGTAGACCAGTTTACCCTCGTCCTGAACTAGGCAGCCATTAGGCAGCCATAAGGGAAACTTCTCCATTCAGAAGAATGACAGCCAGAGACTATATATACAGCAGGAGACAGCTAGTGCTGCGTATCATGTTCAGGTAGTCATTCGTGGCGGGCATGTCACCATATCGCACTTCTACAAGACGTTGCAAACAAAGTTTTCGGACGCAACTTAAACTTAACAGAACACGTGCAGATATACATCCACGTGGCCGTCACCAGGGGCAAGAGGTGGCTGCTTGTTTGCCATTTGCTAGGGCTGGCAAACAGCTGCCTTCCCTTCCCCCTTGAAATCAGGATGCCTCGCCATGTCAAAAGGAGGCCCGATGACCGATGCCGGACTGCTGCAGACCCCCAGACGGAATATCTAAAAACAAAATGAGGGTTTTTAAGGGATGGAGAAGGTAATATTTAGCCCGAAGAAGGCCGTGGATAGCAAACTTGAGGCCCCGGGGGTCGACTGGAGACCTCAGACAATGTAAAGAAGGCTCCAAATGATGCATAGAAGCCCCAATGAAAAGTACAGGAAGTCCCAGTAGCTCAAGAGGAGGCCCCAATGACAAAGAGCGCAGGTCCCGTCAGACAAAAATGGTTCAGCTCAATTGCATAAAACTGTACCGAAAGGACCCATCTCACAAAAAGGACGAAATTCGAAGAGAAACTATTAGATGGGTAAGGTCTAGGATACTATACAGCCATACCTGCTAAGGAAGCTCTAGACCATCTTGCCCCCCCCCCCCCCCCCGCCTTGGGAAGCGTAGGTAACGGTGCCCCTGATGTGACCTTTTTTTAAGGACAAAATATCGGAGACTGTCAGTCCCCGCTTACGCTGGAGGCGACGGCGATGACAATAGTCTACGCTTGAGTTAAGGCGTCTCCGTGGAAGCAAAACGCCCTGCGGCGCCACTCCGCACGTGACACGTATTTCCAGCTAGTGTCTGAAGTCTGACTCTGACTATATCTTAAGCTAAGCGTCTCTGCCATAGTCTACGCAGGAACCAATCGCGTACGACCGACGCGCGTGACTAGACAACGTACGTCATTGAGTGCACATTTCCTGAAGAGATGAAACAATGAATTTCTTTCCGTGGCGAGAGAGAACACGAACGAAGCAAAATACACGAGCTGCGACGTGCGAGCACGCGCTGGTCGAGATCCCGAGTTGGCGACGACGGTCCTCATCGCTTAGATGCCGTCTGCAGCAGGATTTACTTCACCCAGACGATGTTGCCGCATTTTCTGCAGGCGTTCCTTGCCACTGTTTCTCTGATTCGCTGGTGGTACCTCTCATCTGGAGCATAAGTCAAATGGAATCAGAGCGGTCGGCAAGCTGTCAGTCCTCGGAACCGTCACTCACAGACAACACGTTGACCCGACTCAGCCGACAAAGTTTTTTCACATAAGCTTATATCATACGATGTTATAATGCATCACATTTATATTCGTGTTCACTCATAACTTGCTCTTTCTATGCTACCCTGTTATTTGAGACGTTCCGCCGATACATTTTATATCATATTTGAGCCACTGACCGCCTATTCACGAGCAACACCAAAGTCAGGATACCATCTTTCGTGCTTCTGAGGACTCCCGGGACTCAAAACTTTTTAGATTTTAACATAAGGTCTGCGGCATTAGCGATACATGAACGAACAGTTAGCACCAAGCAGCCAACATTTGTTCTTGGAGGTCCCGAATTATTTTTGGTAAGTGACGTCTCAGTGAGAACTTTTCCTGTCGTGCACAATCGTTCTAGAGATACCGCTGAAACTTGGTGTCATTATGAACAGGGACAAAACATCGTGAAATATCGTGGTGCCATTACGAACAGGAATAAAATATCGTGAAATATCATTTTATCATTACGAACAGGAATAAAATATCGTGAAATATCGTGGTGTCATTACGAACAGGAATAAAATATCGTGAAATATCGTGGAGTCATTACGAACAGGAGGAGAGCTAGAGACTTCGGTGTATTTGCAACGCAACAACAAGGTTTTTGATCAGACATTGCGCAGAACCTTTGCCGGACCTGCTGTTAAGGCAAAGCGTTTTCTGTAAGTTGTTCAGTCCATTAGCGAGGAATATTATTCACATAGATAAGACAGTGGTATTAGCCTTATTCCTCGGAAAAGCCATGAGAATGGAGATATTTCTAGACTGATATTTCGCTTACATGCCTTTATCGAAACAATAGCAGACGCGAATTGATATTGCGTAGAACGTATTCACTTCTGCTATTGTTTCGATAAAGGCATGTTGCCGAGATATCAACCTTACTATGTCTCCATTCTCCTCTTTTTTCCAAGGAATAAGGCTAATATTAATGTCTTATCTATGCGAAACGTTTTCCGTTTATCTTCGTAACCTTGGTGACAACTCCGCATGCAATACATACATACAATACAATACATACAATACATGCAATACAATACTTACAACACATGCAATATATGCAATACATACAAACGTCCACACGTACTCTGCGTGTCCCAGACAATGAAAACTGCAAATTATGCTGTTTGCGGCGTTTACTGGTGCTTTTCTCTACTCGTCGTCTGTCCCTGACGTACCCACTGTTTTTTGGTAGATAAACTTGTTGCGCCGTTTCCGTCTGACTTCGATCAATTAAAGGGAGCGTCCCATTTTGGAACATACTTAAAAATTATACCCTGGTGAAACCTCATGGCCAGGTAGTCCATTAAGAGCATCGGGTAGTGCCGCTGCAGCGTCGTCAACACATTATAAGGACATCAATTGTGATTACTTTCAAGTCCAAATCGTGCCGTCAACGCTTTGAGGCACCACTATGTTTTTTACCTGCAGTTGTCGCTACCGCCATCGTGAAGAGGACCGGTGTGGTACTTCTACTGGTGCGAATAAGCAAGCGTTTGTGATTGGCCCGGCGGGCGGCAAGGGCGCATTTGCCAAACTAGCGCGTCACCAGTCGAAGCAGTCGTGGTTGCCGAAAAGCGTAAAGTAAACTACTTCTAATCAAAATTACGAGGTAATCAAAGGGATTTCGAGAAAATTGGTCCTACTGATCGAATCGCACGCGTCTGATCTAATAACAGGGGAAAATACGAAAAGGTGACACACTCCCTCTAATCAAAAAAGATATGCGCGTCCGGCAAAGATTCTACGTGACGTCACGTAGAACCTTTGTCATTCGGGTCGCTGCGAATACCAAAATGCGCAGAATCTCTGGGGCAATTCGTCATGAATGACATCGTCAGTATACACGCGTTGCTGCTCGGTTCGCTGCGAACACACCCTCTCGCCTCTAGTCAAACGTTTGGGTAGAATGTTTCTGTGCAATTAGCATCAATACCATCGCTCTCGTCATCGTCCTCCTCAATGACGTCATCCACCATCAGCTGAGCCATGCCGGCGTCATCTGGCCCGGCCGGGACCATGGAGACTGAACGCTTCCACTTGTTGGGGGTCTGGCTGCCTGCGGCGGCGGACAGTCGTCAATGTCAGAGCCTGTCCGCGTCTGGCGCGTGTTCACCATCATTTATGCACTCAACCATAACAAACAGCTGTGAGGTTGTTTACGTCTATGCTCTTGGGCATTACTTTAGTACAGTTTAGGTGCGGTTTACTCGTATAGCACTGGACGTTAAGTTGTTTCAGCACGTTAATAGTGTACTAAAGGTGTCACTTTTAGACAGCTTGTGGGGTACCATGCGTGCACATTGAACATCACTGAAGGCTCATCATGATGCATCTTTAGGCGGACCCGATACGAGTTAAGACATGAAGGTGGGCGAGGAGATCATCTCGTGACGTCGTTCTCAGCATTTCATAACGCGCGTGGCCAACGACCCCCAGCCTCGCTGGCTGTCAGTCTTTCGTTGTCTCGCCGTCCATCACCAATAACCAGTGGACATGTAACTCCCTTCTCCGGTACCAGCTGACCCTTCGCTGATGGTAATTAGGTACTTCAATAACTCTTCACTGTCCTGGCATGCTTTGATTTATTGGGGACTGTTTACGCTCATCCTAGCACTGGGAGTGACTTCCTGATTTGGCCTTTTAACACGCTTTCCGACACCATGCTAACGTCTCCCAGGGTCAGTCAAAGTTTTAGTAAACCCTGGTGCTGCTTTACTTTCTCCGTAATATCAGCTGATCGCGTCTCAGGCGTCAAATGACTCCTCTCCAGGGGGTCAGTGAACCCACAGGTCTTGCTGGCCTGGCCCGCATCTCCCCTCTGCAATGGCGTAGCATGCTGGTCCTCGCCATGCTCACCGTTCTTACTATGCTAAAAATTGTCTATTGTTCTCACCATTCTTAACGCTCCTGCCGTGCTCACCCGTCTCACCGTTCTCGGAAGTGTCCTGCTCGCCGTTCGTGTCGCCGTCGGCGTTGGACGCCATGGTTGACACAATGTCCATGCGGGAGTCCAGTGAGAACTGCTTCCCAGACATGATCATGCCGCGCACGCGGCGCCGAAGCGCTGAGGGCAGGGGGCGTTCCAGGTCACAGGATGGCGCTGCGGCGTTGGTGGCAGGGGGCGGTCCAGGTCACGGGATGGCGCCGCAGCGTTGATGACAGGGGGCGGTCCAGGTCACGGGATGGCGCCGCAGCGTTGATGGCAGGGGGCGGTCCAGGTCACGGGATGGCGCCGCAGCGTTGATGGCAGGGGGCGGTCCAGGTCACGGGATGGCGCCGCAGCGCTGATGGCAGGGGGCGGTCCAGGTCACGGGATGGCGCCGCAGCGTTGATGGCAGGGGGCGGTTCAGGTCACGGGATGGCGCTGCAACGTTGATGGCAGGGGGCGGTCCAGGTCACGGGATGGCGCTGCAACGTTGATGGCAGGGGGCGGTCCAGGTCACGGGATGGCGCCGCAGCGATGATGGCAGGGGGCGGTCCAGGTCACGGGATGGCGCCGCAGCGTAGATAGCAGGGGGCGGTCCAGGTCACGGGATGGCGCTGCAACGTTGATGGCAGGGGGCGGTCCAGGTCACGGGATGGCGCCGCAGCGTTGATGGCAGAGGTCTGTTCAGGTCACGGGAAGGTGACGAAAAGCCAAGAGCAGGGAGCGGTCTGAGTCACGGCAAGGCGGCGAAAAGTTAAGAGCAAAGGGGGGGGGGGGGCAGGTCATGGCAAGGGGGCAAAAAGTCAACAGCAGCGAGCGGACCCGATCACGGCAAGGTGGCGAAAAGTCAGGAGCGGGGGGCGGGCCAGGTCACGGGATGGCTGCTGTATTCATAGAAATATGTGCGCGCGCGCGCGTGTGTGTGTGTGTGTGTGTGTGTGTGTGTGTGTGTGTGTGTGTGTGTGTGTGCGTGCGTGCGTGCGTGCGTGCGTGCGTGCGTGCGTGCGTGCGTGCGTGCGTGCGTGCGTGCGTGCGTGCGTGCGTGTGTGTGTGTGTGTGCATGCGTGCGTGCGTGCGTGCGTGCGTGCGTGTGTGCGTGCGGGCGGGCGGGCGGGCGGGCGTGCGGGCGGGCGTGCGTGCGTGCGTGCGTGCGTGCGCGCGCGCGCGCGCGCGCGTGTGCGTAATCTAGGCAACAACTGCATTAAAAGTCATCTCACTAATTCTTGAAGTTGATATCCCCATTATGAAGCGGACAAAATGGGAATTCGGAACTCTCCAAACAGAGCTTGTCAACTGAAATCCCAGAGAATTAATTTTGTACACTTGGCGTTGCGAACTTTTTGCTGAACAAAATAATTTAGCTATTCATGAACGACGAGCTCTATGCTGACTTTTCTACAGTGCCCACATCCAGCACTTATTACATTATCGCAGCTAGAGAAGGGGGACTCGTCGCCAAAGACCCTAAAGGTATAAGTTATAGACGAGCTTGAACGAGAACCGACCCACCACCGTGACGGGATACCACAGGAGTCACAGAAAACTCACCGGGACTGTTACGGACCAGGTCGGTCCTGAAGTGGGCCAGCTTCTTGGCGAAGTCTCCCAGCAGATCCTTGTTGTCAAAGATGGCCACGTAGCTGCCGTCCACGATCTTGGGCGACATGGGACTGTTGGCCAGCAGCAGCGAGGTGCCGAAGTCCGGGTTACGACGCGTCTCTGAAACATGCGCAAACCGAACTGTGCAGGCCAATCGCATCGCTTGAAAGCCAGAGGGAACAGCGAAGCGCGTGAGATCAGTCATCGATGCAGGAGTACGATCTGTCTGTCGGGTCCGGTCGTTCGTTCACATGTTGATCCAAGGAAAGACTCCACTGTATGTCAACACCAAAGGAGCTTGGCGACAAAAACCTTGGGTGTGGGCTCTCCTTTTCGATCTCCAAATGCAAACACACTGCAGCCCTGGCCTCTTCTCGTCCCGTTACACGCAGCGGAACTACAGCTGGACTGTGCGCTTAAGGTTCAGATTGTCTCGACGCAAGGCGTGCGCGCTTGGCAAGCCGACGGAGGGACCGCACCTGCCAGCATGATCTTCTTATGTTGCTGCTGCACGGGCGCCCGGCTCTCGGCCAGAACCTCGGACGCCGTGTCCTTGACGACGTTCCAGTCTCGGGTCAGATCGTCCAGCCGGGTGTGCGTGGAGGTCACCGTGAAGCGAATGACGTATTTGCCCTGGGTCAGAGACCATGTGTCCGTCAGATTTGACAGCAGAGCCCACAGCGCAGCAAACGACGGCGTGGTTTTTGACTGTGCCTCTCACATGTTTCATACACATGTTTATTATCGTATTCGCATTTGAAACGTCATTCAAAGTGATGGACGTTGAAGGAGCTCGCACAACATGAAGGCTGTAAGCATAAGCTATGTTGACCTTTAGTGACAGACTTAGGAATACAAATGTAAAAGAATGCACCAAGTACAATGCAATCAAAAAAAGGTTTAAACTGCCGATCGAGATTAACCAGCCAAATGCTAAGATCGGGAGTGTAGCAGGCTCTGCACAAGAAATCTGCGGCACTTGAGGTTAACTTGATTCGTTTTCCCAGCCTGGGCTGAGGCTCCGGGGTACCGGGCCGGTGAGAACAGTCCTTAGACTGCGGGGTGCCTGCTCGGGTAATGAGCGAAGACGCGGACTCCAGATGGATGTCCCAGGGTACTGAGCGGGGTCGCGGGGTCCAGACAGGTACCCCAGGGTACTGAGCGGGGTCGCGACCCGCGGACCCGTGCACGGCCGGCGTTTAGAGCACTGACGGGCCGACCTCTGCATGCCAGGGAGCCGACCTCCGCATGCCGGGGAGCAGACCTCTGCATGCCAGGGAGCGGACCTCTGCGTGCCAGGGAGCCGACCTTGAGCGAGGCCGGCACGCAGTGGATCTTGCCCCCGGAGTTGAGACGCTTCAGCAGCCGTTCAGTCAGCTGGTTGTCGCCGCGCAGACGGAAGCAGATCAGACCCAGGTGGCGCGTGGCGGCCACTTCGAAGCGCGGGTCGGACTGCACGAACAACTCGAACTTGTTGGCCAGGCGGACGCCCTGTGGGGGGGCCGCGTAGCCGGGCGGTCGTTAGTGGAGCGGAGCGACGGGGGCCGACGCGGCGCGGCAGCACACACGCAGCTGCAACGCTGTGAAAAGATGATTGGCTGATACGGAGAGGGATTGCAGATGGTGAAGAGATATAGGATATACTGGAAACATGATAATGTTGGGAATATATTGTCCGTTACTTCCCTGTGTTATTTCTATTATACGGGATAGTATACGGAATATACTAGAAAAGTGTCAGAAAAAGATTAAGAATGGAAGATAGGAAAACTATTAATGACAGAAATGCGCCTAGACGTGCCAGAGTTCGCTCCTGAAATAATGTTTGAAAATCAAATATGCCTCCCACAGACATATCATTGATTCCTCCATCACCAGAAGGCCATGCCAGAAGTGGACTATGAACAAGCTGACTTCGACAGAATGCTGCGTAATTTTCCTCCGGGCCTGACCCGGACTCGTACCTCCCTGACGTGTGCCTGCAGGCCTTCCACACCGTAGCTGCGCAGCACAAACCACAGCTTCAGCGCCCGGAACCTCTTGCTCAGAGGTATCTGCCAGTGCTGAGACACGGAAACGGACGTCAGTGCGCTGAGATCTGCAACTTTTACGCCCGTAACAACGTCTGAGATCTGCTTATTTCGAGACTCGAATGGCATCATGGCAACCGGAACTTGCCGATAATCGGTATAAGGGCTTTCCGAACTGTGTCACAAAAACGGTCAAATCAGCTGAAGCCCTATGGCAGCAGAGTTGAGACAGACGTTTCCATGGCGTCCGACTCGCCGGCTGATCTCTCTGCCGTCATTTCTGCTCAGTTGTGACTTTCAGCGGTTTTCTGGCCACGTGTGCCCGTGTCAAAACCGTCTGGCAGCTTGTGGGTCAACGCCCGGGCCCATCGTCTGGCTGGCTGCGGCTCGGTCTGTCCACTGACAAATCCGCGGCCAAGAAGCCCCGCCACCGCAGGCCCGACACGCGGGCGCCGGAGGGGGTGCCGCCGACTCACCATAAAATCAATGGCGTACCCTGAAACGGTGACACCAGTCAGTGGTCGCCGAAGCGTCCGGCGCAGTAATACGGCCTCCGGCGCACGTGGCTGAGGCCGCGCGCCGGCAGGCAGGGCGCCGTTCATGACCAGTTACTTCTCGGCATGGATGTTTCAAACTATCATCGAGGTTTTGTTCAGAAATGGTATTGCCGACCGCGTGCTGTACGCGAAACTTACTTCATGATAGCACTGAATGCAAGGGCAGCGGTGGAAGCCAGCTTCAACATTGGACGTGGCATGAATGGTGTCTTTAATCCTGCCATGAAATGCGGTGCAGCCTAACATGTAAGCTAAGCGCACGTTTGAAGTTTTTTTCGTAGAAATTCCGTTGTGTTCCCAGACATAACAGAGGTGGCTCATATGGCAAAACAGTTTTGAAAACGGCCGCACCAAGCTAATTGTAAGTTACAACCGCTCCACCATTTGGCTATATCAGGGTAATGGTTCCGACATATTTGGCACATTAGATTGCCAGAACACTTTACATGCAGTGCTCGCAGCATGCGGGGACAGCCGGCGTACTTCGTTCTAACCCACTTCTCATGCAATGGTTGTTGAAAGTCCAGTTTGGTAGCATGCTGGGCATGAGACGCGCGCTGGGAACCTGCCCATTTTGCATCGTTCCTGACAGAAACATCCGACTTAGGTACACTTCACTATCGTCAAGGGTATCAACATCAACGCTTGCCGTTAGGGGGTGGCGTCAAGTCAGTCAGTTAGTTGAGGACCCACCCGAGTTCTCGTGCTGGAGATACAAGGGATCCACGTTGAAGGTGCGGTGCAGGGTCTGGCTGTTTTTCACCCTGAAACAAATAAGGAGTGAGCAAAGCATATTTTTCGGTCTTGCAAACGTATCCGCTATGGAGCGGAGTTCCATGAGTGCGTGACACCTACCCACACCCACACCCACACCCACACCCACACAGATACCCACCCACACCAACGCATCCATACCCACACACACACACACACACATATATATATATATATATATATATATATATATATATATATATATATATATATAACAAAAACACGATTTTGATGCATATATGTACATATATGTACATGTACATGTACATAAAAACCCTCATAAAATTGCAATAAAACCCTTTTTATATAGAATTATACATTCCAAGCTCTGTGGTACAATTTAATATAAACAGAACGAAAGGGTTTTGGAAGTCAACTTTTCTCCATGTATTCTCACTTTTTACTCCGACCACCAACTGCAGTGAGAGCCTGTGTTATTTTCTTCTCGGGTTTTCTGCTCGATTATTTGGGTCACCACAGGCGTTCAGCTGGTGGGTGACCATGGTAGTTTCAGGGTGTCTTGCAACGACCGTGTCGTAGTGTTGTATGACACTTCGCATGACGTGCAAAAACACTTTGGTCAAAATTTCTTGTGGTACTGGAATTTCTTGACTGGGATGGGGGTCTTTGCAACAACCCATACCTAGCAAGGACTCTGACTCCGCAGCTAGGCACGCAAACTGTTTGATCAAGTTTCATTTTGGAATTAATCCTAGTAAATCCAGCGTATCAGTTAATCCCGGTAGATCAGCAGGTAAGTACTTGGATAATCATAGGTGTTGGAAAGTACTGACCGCTGTGTTTCAGAAATGCGTAGCCGGTGTGTTACGAAAATTTATATTGCGTCCTTTAAGCAGACACAAATGGTAAAATGTCACGTGGAGAGACACATCTGCACCGCGACTTTGCATTACTTATTATCCGCGCATTCAGCCAGATAGGCGTTTCCGTCCCGCATGGCAACCGTTATCAGCGAACAGGTAACTCCAAGACGAGCGTGCAAGTGAGATGTTGCAGCCGAGTGCAGATGCTCGTGTCGTCAACGAAATGAAACACTTTCGGTGTACATGACTTGTCATAAAGGTTTTCCATTTTATGCACACGCCTTGCAGTGCGAAAAAGACGGCGCTGTTTTTTGTTATCGTCAGTTGGCAGGACACAGTCGGCGTCTCGATACTTTTTTCAAGATGTCTTGGCATTACACATTGTTTCTTAGATCTCACTTTGATTTTCCGAACCGCATGAATGCCCTTGAATTCCTCTAATACTTCTTAGTGTGCTTCTTAATGCTTTTTAATGCTTCTTTATTCTTTAATGCTTCTTAACGCTTCTAGTGCTTCCTAGTACTTCCTTTAATGTTTCTAATGCGTCCTTTTATGCCTCTAATGCTTCGAGACGCGTTAGCGGCATATGCCACTAGCATGTCTCCTCATATCGTAATGATGCATCCCTCAGTAATAGGCATGGACGAGGAAAAACATGCGGGCTTAGACCCGGCACAAAATATTATTCCCGATGATATCAAACTCTGTCTTGTTTTTTGTTATTTGACTTGATTTTGCATGAGTTAACAGGACTAGGTGCTGAGCCCCGCCCCATAAAAACATTGAATTGGGAGTACACTTTGTTCTGTCGGGCGGTGGAAAAGATGATCACAAATCGCTCAGCTTCATTCGAATCGATCCTCATGATGACCCGCTATCGATAAATGTAACGAATGGTGGCAACGCTCTTTGCCACACATATGGGTCCAATGCATTTCCAGTCTAGCAAGGTGTAGTCCAAATCCCAAATCTATCTGGGTTTGGCTGCGACAAGTGAGCTTGAATTTCTCCTGCTACAATAAGCAAGAATAGGTGCATTCCGAACTTTACGACCGCAGTGGAAAAAGGCGTTATGAACTAAACGCACCATGACCATTAAACGAGACGTCCAGGGTCAGGAAGTAGCAAGGGTTTAAGTACGATCACAAAAGTCATACCACGCCGCATAAGTGGGCAATTTTATCGTCGACGCATACCGAATTCATTCGAACTGTTCAAGGAAGCTAAACCGTACTATCTGTTCCTATCCCCTTTGCTTTGCGACCGTTTCGTACAGTTTAATCGTCATTTATTGATTGGGGCTTTACGTCTCACCGGCTGCTAGGACCCATCATTCAATCGTTGTGGTTACAACGAGGCAAGACTAAGCGTCTTAAAACCAGCACCGCAAACATTCCGATAATAAATCATAATCACGGATGACAAGTCAGGTTGTGGTTACAGCTGCTCGCAGAAACTGTTGTCATCGAAAATGTGGTTTTGGCAGCGCTGGAGACCTTTTGATTCTAATGAACGCGAGCCGGAACGATCAAAGCGAAAGCAAAAGGTAGGTGCCGATGGCAAACCAATGCAGCAGCGCTTTGCTTGGTACTGGCTGTTCAGTCATCCGTCCCGGTGGACTGGTAAGGACACTGTCTTTGAGCATAGTGCAGGCCACATGCGCTCTCAGTCGCGGCCGCTTGCAGCTACAATAGAGAACGAAACGCTGTGTTCATTCTGGCGCCACTACCAGACGCTGAATAACTGTAGACGCATATGCTGCCGGCGCACCCCGCTATTCCGCCATACACCCGGCACATGCGCGACGCCGTGCACGCGACCACGCCAGCCTGAATGGGTCGAATGACCGTGTAGTCTGTAGCCCACTTGTCACTGCCCTCTGGCCACCGGCGTGCAGAACAAGCCGGACGCTTCAATCGCGTGCACGGTAGGGTGTCGAGGACAAAGACGCGCTGTGGCCGGCTTGGGCGTCTCCCGGAGCGACCCAGCCTCGCTCAGGTACAAGAGCGGCGCCACCTGGCCAGGATCGCGCATTCTAGATACGTGATGCGGTCTGCTTCGACGAGAACGCCCTGCATCGCCGAGAACTTGGAGTAACGGAGACCGTTCGGCGAAGGCGAAAGCCTCAACGAGTGTGAGAGCATTCCGCACCGGCGGGGAAACCCGAGGCCGGCGGACATCAGTAGTGGAGGGATGGCCGCTCGCTGGGTGGAGACGTGCTGTGCGCTGCTCGTCGTCATCCGCAGGGCCTCTGCCTCTTCCCTGTACGCGTCCAGCGCCCACCGCGGTGACCTGGAGCTGGCCGGCGTCGAGCCGACGCTGTTGCTGGCGCTGCCCTCGCTGGCGCTCTGCAGCATACTGTGCGCCCGTCAAAGCGAGGGCTGCGCCAGCTTCTCCTACAACGGCAGCGTCTGCGCGCTGATGCCCCGCGCCGCTTGCGACGCCGGCGGCTTCAGCGAGCTGCGGCGCGCCGTCGGCTCGCGCTACTTCGACGTGTACCCGCAGCGGCCGCGTGAGGCGCTGCTCCCGAGCTGGCACTCATCCGCTTGCCGTGAGCACGGCCTCTGCGCCGAGCGGTGCCTGGCAAGCGCCGGCGGCGACGCCTGCGCGCTGGACGAGCAGTGCGCGCTGGCACTGCCGCTGACGGGCGGCGACCAGTGGAGCTGCCGCGACGGCCGCTGCGCTCAGACGTGGAACGCCAGCGCCCGGCTGCAGCTGCCGCTGTTCGGCTCGGAGTGGCTGACGGACGGCAGCGCGTCCGGCTGGCTGTACAAGGCGCTAGCGCCGAGCAGCCCTTGCAGCGTGACGCTGCGTGTCGGCTGCGCGGCCGGCTGCCAGGTGGCGTTCCGTGTCAGCGAGGATAACCAGCCTGAGGAGCGACACTACCTCTTCCACCTGAACGACTCCGCCGTGTCGGTGCAGTACCGCCACGACGCGTACGAATCGCGCGAGTACACCCGCATCAGGGCGGGCCTGCTGCCCGAGCAGCCGACGGCGACCGTCACGTTCTCCTGGTGCTCAGACGATGGCAGAACCGCCCTGCAGGTGTACGACGGCAACAACGTCATGGTGTACGCGCTCACCATCGCCGCGCCGCTGCCAGAGGCGGCGCTGCGGTACGTCTCGCTACGCAGCTGGCCGTCGGTGGCGCGCTGGAGCGTGGAGCGCGACCTGGCCGACGCCTGGGCTCTGCTGGACACGCTGCCGGGGTCCGAGCGGGTCTACACAGTGCTGCAGGGCGGTCAGATCACGCGCCGCCTGCCCGTCCCCTCCAGCGTGGTCTCGGTCCACATGGAGTGTCGACCCGGCCCAGGGGGTGAGTGCAACGTCGTGCTCAAGGAGCAGCAGCAGTTCGTCGTCGACTACTGGATCCGCATCGGTTACCGCGACGATCCAGACGTCCCGCTGCGCTCGGCGGCCGTCAGGGTGGCGCCGGACGGCCAGTTTGAGGAGTTCGACAGCCAGGAGACGCCCGCTGTCGTGGCGCCAAACGCGTTTGTCGAGCTCGAGGTGCGCTACGACGGCGGTCGGGTGACGGTTGGCCGGGCTGGCGCCGTCGTGTTCTCCTGCCAGATGCCGCAGATTACCGTGGCGTTCGTCGGCGTCGGCGGCTGGAACGGCCCGATCGACGTCAAGCTCTTCAAGTTCGACCAGCAGTGGGGCTACGAGGAGGCGCAGTTTGAGAACGGCGCCGACACCGCCCCGCCGCCTGCTGGATAGGGCTCCACCTCGGCACTGGCCTCATCCCGTCCAGATGGATGCGGCGTCGCATGGAACACGGGCAGCCAAGTGTGGCCTGCCGAACCGTTTGTCTGGCGTCTAAGCACATCACTGTCCATCAGATCGTTAAAGCATCAGGACCTTACAAGTTTCCCAAGAATCTCACAATCTAAGGTTCCGTAATAAAATGATAATACTTATCATTTCCACATCAAATCACCAACGAAAAATCTCGCAAGCATGTAACGTTAAGACCTGTCCCCGATTTGTCAGCTTGACAATAATTTCATCTCACGATAGTTTTCTCCTGCCTTCATTGTAGATGACTCTCCGACATCAGATCGTACACACGGATTTCAGCACTGCGGCCTGCCTATTCCTTTACCGTGGTTTGAACCAGCCCAGCCTGCCCTCCCTACTGTGGTCCCTAACTAGCAGGCATCACAGTTGTGTGTACTAGCCACTCCCTGTCTGAAGCGCGCGTCACGAGTTTGCAGCTCTTGAGCGCTGGGCCTATTCAGACCAGACCAGACCAGACCACCCTGGGAGTGTCCTCTTGCACGTAGGCACCCAACAAGCCGCCGGTGGAATAAATGCATTTGATGTGCTCTGCGTGTGTGATAGGCTCTCTGTTACGGTGCCTGCCAGGTGTCGTTCGCTCAAGAAGCGAAATCTGGGAAAACCGTCGTGGACTCAGATCCGGTCACAATGAACTCAACTGGACGAGCCAGCCAACTTCGATGCATCGCGATAGCCGGCTCGTTTCGTATTTGTAATAACACAACCACTTAATACCTAAAGTGATGCAATTTTTAGTAACGTAAACAAAGCCAAAAATGCCCTCTAATCTAATCTATAACAGCGACATGGCATCGCTTATTTCAGCATTGCTACTATTATGCCATCCTAACGTAGACAGCTCAACAAAAGTCAGCAGATGCTTTTGTTTCTCGTTGCATGCGATTATATCGAGTCGAAGCAACAGCCCATCAGTCACACCCAGCCGTTTTGCACTATAGGTATGGGACAATTAGCAGCCTTCTAAGACTTGTTTGTTAAAAATGACGCGCCCTCCGTTCATCATTGTCATCTCGTGCAGCTTGTATACACTCCTGATGACAGACTGACCGCTAAGCCGGATCTCCTTTTTACCTAGCATCAAAGACAAAACTAAAAATATTGTTTTGCTTTGTTTGGCATCCAGTTAATGTATGCACCTGATAGGCACCTGTTCGAGTGAACGTGGTACCTCTCCTTCCAGACAGTCGAGAACCAGATAAGTAGCCAGGTCAATAGAGAGCCCTCTTCATGGGGCAAGGGCCTCCTGACTGCGCCCTCTATCGTAACAGGCAATACGCCGACTGGCTGAAGACGCAACGTACTGGGCAGCGTCTAAACAGCAGCTAATTGTCAGTAATTAGGGATCTTATTGCGTCAATGAGGGCTCCTGCGTCGATCTGGGACCAACTGCGCGGGTCACGAGGCTTCCTGTGTCAGAGAGGGGACTATTGTGACATGACATATTCTTCTAAAGGCCTCATGATCGACCAGGGGACCCACCCCCATGTCGGCAGAATGGCTGCCGGAATGCGCCCCGCACTGGAAGGGGTGGTCCTTTATCCCTGGGCCGGTAATGATAATGTTCCCCTGGTGTTCTGTTCACGAACCCTTTGCCCGGAAAGCGTACGGGGTCTCAGAATTGTTCCATGAAGTGGATTGGAATGAGGTCAAAAATGAGAAAAAATAAATCTAACGAACATAGACGAAGACTGCAGGGTTAACATTTTTACAACCTGACTAGGAGTACAGGACCCTTGGCCACCGCAACGTTTTGTTAATAATGCTACCTTGCAAGTTATTCTTCACACACTGCGCGAGTCAACACTTAAAGAAATTGCCACAAGTACGCCGTTCTGAATTCAAGGCCCATGTCTGTCGTCACCAGTACGTTTCGCGCGAGTTATTTCTGTCGAAACTCTAATCACCTGCCAGTCTCCTCTCGTCGCAACGACATCAGGATGGTATTGCCTACCGATGCGACGGCATATTCTCGCTTGCCCCGTTGCCGATAGCTGACTCCGCGGTCACCGGAGAAGCCGGAGGGCCGCGGTAGGAGAGCCCTCGGGCTAGGATTACGACACTCGGCACTAATTGGCCCTGGAGCGGCGGCAGTAAATACAGGACGGTGATGCCGCGGCCCGCACTGGCGGAGACGGCAACGGAACAACAGCCCGTTTCGGCGTCTTTGGTCGATTATCTGACAGCCGTGCCACCAGGGTGCCACCAGTGCCAAAGGCTCTCAGACATGAGTGCACGTTTGATCGCACGTGCCTGTTTGATGGCAACGCCCTGTTTAAGTGTATCGAATGAAAGCAACTCATCCCATTTCACTCATAATTTGAGGTGAAGCATCTGACCAACGCCATGGTCAGATGCTTAACCCAAAACTATGAGTGAGAATTTAGAAGAATTACATCCATGCGTGAGTCAGAACACCTAAGGATGAGTGTTTTGATGGAACACGCCGTCATTCGCGTCGATATCGCGGACGTATCGTGGACGTGCGGACGACACTTTCGGACCCACGAACCTGTGACGTCACTATGCCTCTGGAGCACCGAACTCTCGCATTCCTCACACAGCCGACTGCGGCCGCCAGCACTGACCACATGGCGGTGCAGTCGAAGTGCACCATCATCCACTTGCTCGGGTTGAAGGCCAGCGAGTCGGCGAACTCGACCCCGACCAGCCAGTGCCGGAACTCGGGGCAGATGAACGCTGTGCCGGCGTAAGCCGCGTCCACGTGCATCCAGATCTCCTCCTCACGACCTACGGCGGCGCAGATCATTAGGGCATGTCAGCCCTCCAGATCTCCTCCTCGCCACCTCAGGGAGGGCAGACCATCAGAGCACATCAACCATTCAGATCTCCTTTCCACGGCCTTGGGGGAGGGCAGGTCATCAGAACACATCAGCGTCTAGGCCTTCTCCCCAAGACCAGAGGGAGGTCACCCAGGCTCATCAGCCCTCCAGACCTCCATCCCGGCTTCCGAAAGCAAGGGTCGTTGGGGCATACCACCCACCCAGATACCCTCTGGCATCCTCCTCGCAGCCTGCAGGGCTATATGGATATGCTGGTCACCAGATCCCCTCGTCGCTGGCTCAAGAAACAGCAGCTGCACGTGAGGCACGACGGGTTGGGGACGGTCGTCAGAATTATTAAACGCTACAAAAGGTTGTAAAGCCAAAGTGTGTGACTGGTATCAGCACATGTATCTTTTACAGGTCAGGTGTTATTGCGGTTGCTCTAACAAGCGTTTGTCAATCAACCCCCATGGCCATTCAAACGAAATCCCATAGCTGTTTGTCGGGCATGGGATGATGCTGTAGCGGTGGTACGAGAGAAAAATCGGGCGTCCGATAAGAGACGCCGACGAACGTTGTTGAGTCGTCTGAGAAGTGTGTGTTTGTTTATTGTCCATGTACGATTTTTTTAGTGTTTGACTACCAACTATCAATGCTCAATCTGGCTCTTGTTTGTTCGCTGAGTGCTGATTGACACCCTGGCCTAGGAGGATGGTTACCGCTGTTAAGTCATATACCTTAACAGCCTGACCTAGGAGGATGGTTACCGCTGTCAAGTCATATACCTTTACAGAGCCGCGACGTTGAGACCGCCCCCCGACGCACCCTTTTATCCTCTGTCCCGCCCCACCCTGTGTGTTCGCGACTCCACGCTTATTCGAGGCAGGCTGCACGCGTCAGTAACGAGCGGGCCGTGAAGCCCTCTGGGGGCAGGGGGGGGGGGGCGGGGGGACCCTGGTCGGGCAGCCGGCGCATACCGCCCTCAGGGGTCCCTGCGCGGCCTTAGGCTCGGCCGTTGCCCCTCCCTCCTTCCCCCAGATGCATGCAGTCTTGCCCCACCGATATCGATTCTCATTCATCCCATAGCCTTGAAATGATCGGTTTCGGTCGAAAATGCTCAAATCCAAACAACCCTGATATTTAGTGCATCGTGCATCGTGCATCCAGATACAGGCATCGCGATCCCCGTGATCCGTTCCGCTTTTGTCATTTCCGTGTTAGCATCTTTGGTTGCCGATGTCGATACTTCCGACTGGATAAAGCACTACTAACTAGTCCTGGTCATTCGGCCGCGGCCAGCCGGTTGACAGCACGAGTCCTGACGTCAAGTTTGCTCGTTAATGTGGGTCTGCACGGAGGCTTTGGCTGTCAGCTGATGGCAATTATCACGGCAACTGCTGCCATCATTCTTTATCGTCGCTGAAGATCGTTCCAGTGCGGTAATGTTATTAGTATGACGCGCACGCACGCACGCACACCAGTGGAGCTGGGGTTCGCACGCAGACCATCTAACTTTACACTCACAAATCGGTCCAAGTTCACTGAGGTTGTCGAAAGCGCAGGCTCCTGTGGTTCCCAGCGTAGCACAAAGCTGAAAATGGTAAGCTCCCGTGAATGGTGAATTATGGCACGGTGAGTGAAACTTATCAAACAAATCCGCAGTATAGCGAAACATTCCGGCACAAGTGCCACGTGCGCTCTGATAGGCTGCTGCAGTCTACAAATCGAGGACCAGTGCAGTAAAAGTGCAACAGCACCGTAACTTCCAGCCCAAAATAATCGAAAAGTGCATGCTTCTCTGCTTGGTTCGGTCACGCAGCACTGACCATATTTGTGGCTAGATTAATCGCATCATATTTACTACAAACAAACATATATATATATATATATATATATATATATATATATATATATATATATATATATATATATATATATATATATATATATATATATATATATATATATACATATATATATACATATATATACATATATATATATATATATATATATATATATATATATATATGTATATGTATACCCACACCTATATGTATATATAAAACATCGGTCTATTTCAGCAGGCAAAAGTCGACCGAAGAAATCTCAGTCGCACACTGTGCCCTAGCGCGGCCTCCCCGCCGCCATCCTCACGAAGAACGGTATGAGTCCCTTCTGGCGGTCGCGTCGGATGGCCTCCACCAGCTTGTCGCCGCGTAGACTCAGCTGGTGGTCGGTCTCGATGTAGCGCATCTTCACGAGACCAATCAGACCGGCCTTCTCCACCGACGAGTGCGCCTGTCGGTCAGCATGCCGGCAAGGGGGACGCCCAGGGGGACGGTCAAGGTGGCGTCACAGCTAGTCACCGGGCTGAGGTCGACTCAGTAACCACGGGCAGCTGATCACCGGGGTCAGGTTGGCTCAGCGACCACGGGCGGCTAATCACCGGGCAGAGGTCGGCCCGGTGACCACGGGCAGCTGATCACCGGGGTCAGGTTGGCTCAGTGACCACGGGCAGCTGATCACCGGGCTGAGGTCGGCCCAGTGACCACGGGCAGCTAGTCAACGGGCTCAGGTCGGCCCAGTGACCATGGTTAGCTAGTCACCAGGCTGAGGTGGGTTCAGTGACCGCACGCAGTGTTGTGTCCCGCACGGAGCCAGTGCCACGCAGCATGTGTATGAGACAACAATACAGTTTCATACTTACGGCAGTAGAACGTAACTGAATATCCGCAGACTGCGGTGAGTGCGGTAGAGCTCTGAACGTAGTCGGATGTACTCTGAACGTCAGTCCGAGGGCAAACAGCATGGGGAGTTTGATGACGCGGAAAAGTCGCACATGCCGGTAGTCAACGAATTTCCAGCGAGTCAGCCAAGTTAGCGGGGGAAGGCTGTCAGCTCAAACACAGCCGCGACGTCCTCCCCTCCTCCTGAGTAATACGGGAGAAATCTGCCGCTGCTTGGAGCACAGCCACACCATCGTCTCCCACTCTGGAGTAATACAGGAGCAATTAGCCGCAGTTTGGAGCACAGCCACACCGTCGTCTCCTGCTTGGGAGGAATACGGGAGCAATCTGCCGCTGCTTGGAGCACAGTCACGCTGTCGCCTCCTACTTTGGAGGAATGCAACAGCAATCAGCCGCTGCTTGGAGCACAGCCACGCCGTCGTCTCCTTCTAGGATGGAATACGGGAGCAGCTGCTTGGAGCATAGCCACGTCGTCGTCTCTTGCTTACGAGTAGCACAGTGGCAATCAGCCGCTGCTTGGACAACGCCGTCGTCTCCTACTCGGGAGTAATACAGGAGCAATCAGCCGCTGTCTGGCTGGTGACTTTGGGAGGTGGGTTGACTGGCTGACCGCTTGCTTAGTTTGTTGGTTGACTGACAATGGTTGACTGATTGGTCGGTCGGGTGACCGGTTGGTTCGTTAGCTGATTAGTTAGTAAGTGTTGATTGGCCAGCCAGTCGGTGGGTTAGCTGGTTGGTCGGCTGCCAGGTTGGCACTCGCCTGGTCTGAACAGTAGGCCACCAGTCGGCTGTTGATCTCGGCGTCGTCCAGGTCGGGACACGTCTTCTTGTACCGGCTAATGGCCTCCGTCCTTCCGGCGAGCAGGCACACGAACGTCGCCTCGGACGCTGTGGTCTGCGGGGAATGGTCTGCTTTCAGGCCTTCATCTGTGGCAGGTGGTCTGCCGCCGGGCCATGGTTTGTGGCGGATGGTGTACTGTTAGGCTATGTTCTGTGCTAGATGGGCTATTGTCAGACCACCTCGGGCTGATGCGAATGGTCCGTGTTCAAGCCGCTGTCTGCGGCTAACGGCCTACGGTTAAGCCATGGCATGTCGCTAATGGTATGCTGTGGGGCTTTAGTCCGAGGTGGATGGTCTGCTGGCATGGCATGGCATGGCATGCCATGGTCCACCGCGAATGATCTGCTATCAATTCAACACAGCGGCAGCTGCGGCCGACCGACCGCGTCGGGTCAGGTTAGGTCAGGTCAGACTTCAAACAGGCGAACGGTATAAATGACAGAGTTCATCCTCATTGTGCAATATCGTTGGTATTGCACTTGAACTCTGAGTGGCTGGAAATGGCAAATGGTTTAAATTCGCATGCGTGATCTGTGCCTGTCACAATCATTCCCATTACCTCCATTACCGTATTGGAGGACCCAAGCTAAAAACAATCCCAACGCTCTCAACGCGAAAAAAGCTTTGATACCTTGTAATCCACTGTTATGATGTACAACGGGGCTGGCAATTCTACAAGACTCGAGGCGATGGACCGAACCTATCCTAGGATATAATGAGACGTTTAAGCTATTCTGAAACCAGGGAATGAGCCCTCGCCTGATAGAGGGCGTCGATGCAGCCCCCAAAGATTTTTAAAGATGTCCTTCCGGAATGCCGTGCAATCGTGCCCACATTTTCAGTAGCCCATGAGGCATCTGTTGCTCATGTTTCTGCACAAAAAGACACACCTAGCTTTTCTGGAATCTGAGCAGCGGCTGTTTTTTTTTTCTAAGAAACACTGCACGGCGATCTACGGCCGACACGCGGGCAGCGGGCGGCAACCGGAGATGCCGCTGGACCGTGCGGCGGGCCGGCACTGTTACCTCAACACCTTAGCGAAGCCATACAGTGCCACAGGCATGGATATGCCTGTGCCACTGTATGTCAAATGGGGCATGTAATCTCCCTCCCCCCCCGCCCCTTAGGCTCCGAGGACCTGAAAGAGCCTGCGATTAAGGGCCCGATTTGAGTGTCCGAAGTGTCAGAAGGCCGGCTGGAGGTCGTATTCAGCGATCTCGACCCGCAGATGCGGGCGCTCCTATGCCAGTCAGAGCGCCCTACGTGCTGATCAGCGGGCTGCTGTGTTTATTATAGCCTTATGTCGGTCAGACACCGTTAGTATCGCCAATCGACTCCGTTTCGGCATGGGCCTCAGGGACCATTTCCCAAGCAGGGTCAAAGCCGGAGCCAGCGATTTACATTGGTCGGGGCCTCATCATCTGTCAGAGCCACATAGCGCCTAACAGAAGCCCCCAAATCAGTCAGAGGCAGTGCTCAGAGGCCCCAAAGAGTCGAGAGGCCCCATTGGGCCGAGGATTAAGGGTCCAATTGGAGGGCCTCAGGGCACGAACGGCTGGCCGGAGTCTTGTTCAGAGGTACCAGCCTGTAGTGACGGGCCCTCAAATGGCGGTCAGAGGACGCCGATTGGGTACCCCCCCCCCCCCTCCCCCTGAGCCGAAGGGCCAATGTTCGGTGTCCCTGGCGCAATGAGCGGCTCCTATGTCGGTCAGGGGTCACATCACCTAACAGGAGTCCTGTGGTGGGAAGTGACCCCCGAGTCAGCCAGGAGTCGTGTTTTAGGGGGCCGACGAGAGGTCGAAGGGTCTCTCGAGACCAAAGATCAACGGCCCCATTGTAGGGTTGAAAGGTCCGAAGGGATGGCTGTAGCTCACAGTTAGGACCCGGCCCCTAGGACCATGCTCTCAAATGACAATTGAAGACTCGCTTGCACCAATTGGGGACCCATGAGACAATGCGTTTCTTTATTTCAACCTGAGATAACCAATAACGAACAAACGATTCTGTGTCGGTCTGAACTCTAAAAGCTCACTTCACAAGCAGGGACAAGGCCGGGCCCGCGATTAACATTGGTCGGGGCCTCTGTAACAATGTGGGGCCCCTGCATTGGTTAGGGGCCCACAGTGCCTAATAGGATGTCCTGTGTCAACAACTGGCTCCGGATAGGCCAGGGATTATTTGCTGGATAGGGACTGGGACGGGGTCACGAATGCCGGAGGGCCTCTTGCGATACTCGGGGCCCGCTGACAATGAAAGGAAACTTGACAAATTATGATGAGTGCTCACGTCGAGGCAATGGAAGGATCACGTGTCAGTCAGGGCATCCACTACCGAATGGTGGGCCGTATAATCAAATGCAAGCATGGACCCGTTAAACCGAAATGGGGTCTGTGTGCCAATTATTGGGCCACCTGCGGCGACCAGGGATCTTGTTGCGTCAACAAGGGCTCCTGAGTCGATCCGAAACCAGGTTTACAGCAGCATGCATTTGGGTATATACGTTGTCCAGACCGCCCGAGACCGGCTGAGATGGTGGACGGTAGGTGACGCCCACAATAACCGAACGACGCTCGCCGTCCGAGTCGGTACCCAGAGCGCCTCGCGGGCACCTCCTGTGATTGTACCTGGAAAGGGTGCCCACGGCGAGCTTTTCCCGGCATAATATAGCAGCACTATCGCCATGGGGCACACTGGAGCGGTCTCAACGCACCATTCTAAACCGGGAAACACCAGTATTCTGTCCCCAACAAGATGTGGTAGCCATGTGTAAATGACATATGGCTACCATGTCTCTATCATATCCAACACATCATGCCAACCTTTTGCTTGTGAGGAGTATGAAGCATTGAGTCAGTCTAAAGTACCAGTGACCGGATGTTCGAGTGACCGATGGCCAGTTCATGTACCGGCTCACTAGGGTTGGTAGTCTGACTGCTGTTGGAACGGCGGCGGGTCTGATGAAGGATGAGCCGTGCTGGGCGCGCCAGGCAGCGTAAAGCATGGCCTGTTGGTGCAGAAGGTGGTGCGTTCACCGCATTGAAATTGGCTGCTTCTTGGCTTCAGCATTTTTTTAGCGTGTTGGCTTAGACATTTTTTGAGGTCAGTGATGAATGATGGTGCGTATCGGTCGTTGCCGTACGATAGCCGAACTTCGTTTGTTCGAGTTAAAAGTAGTTTTACATGTAGGAAGACACATATGAATATGACATTTTCTTCCACAGAGGAACTCTTAACAATTGTATTACGTTTTCAAAAATGCAGAGGTACCGAATTGCATTTCATTTACCGCCTGGGCGTGGACGCAAAATCATCTACATTCTTGAAGTCCAAGTTTAAGTCAAAGCTCAAAGATAAATTTGCAAGTATCTTTTTTACAACTTTAAAGTTGCCCTTTCAACATATTAATAGCAACGGCAAAACTAAAAATACAGATTCTACATTTACTCTTCCAGTTTCACCGCCAGATTACAGCACCGCAAAGTGAACTGTAAAAGCCAATCCATTCTTATCATCAATCTAAAAATCCCACGGGGAAAAATCAATTTTCGTCCACCCGTTGGCCACAACTCAGTGTTATCGCGTGGCCCACGGTGCGCAGCCTATGGAGACTGCAGTATCTGGCGCCGGGTTTTTTGTTGCTAAGATTTGCATACGCGCGTGCTCAAAACCGGGTTACGTAATTCCTATCATGGATAGATTCTGACTGAATGTTGAACACCTCCAGACAAACATGTAACCGCAAATTGTTGACCCACTTCGATAAACAATCTACGTTCGCAAGGTCTTTGATCTGCGTAGAATCCAGATCAAAATTTTGGAAAAGCCCCTGACTTGTATTCAGAAAGAGCTCATCGGACCATTTTAAAATAAAGAGTACCGGCAATTCATTTTACGAAGTCGTTTAATTCATATTTTTTTCAATTTATTGGCTACAAAATTCAGATAATTGATCTTGAAGGAGTTTCTGGCTTCTGTTCCAGTTGCAAGAGGAAAAATGAAAAAATAACTACGAAAAGCATGCTTTCATTGGCCAATGGGCCATATCCTGCACTTTTTAGGGTGGGATGCCTTTCACTAGCAGGGGCCCTTTGTCCGCGCTGCGCCCCCTTTCTTGCCAAATGTCTGGTTGCGCTCGTAAAGTTCACTTTACATTTAGATCGGACCATGAATCTATAAAACTGTGAAAATAAAGCACTTAATAGTGTTATGTGTTTTAAGTAGGGATGTGTGTAATCGCGAAGCAAGTGACGATGCGTACCTAACATAAAGCATAGATTGAATTGTTTAAACCAAAGGTTTGGGGTATCAGCATTTGGAAACAAGCAAGTGTGTGATAGACCGGGCAGAGATGACCCCTGATGGAGCAAAAACACCGGCTATGCTTGAGTCTAAAGAGGGCTGATCATACAAAATCCATTTGACATCACCTTGCTCTATAATCAGCACATTATGGATGGCCCGTTATACCACACGTCCACTCATTCAGCCAGCAGTATTGTTGCCATCGTAACAACACTGTTCGCCAGACATAACCCAGAGAGGTAGGTGGTGACTGATTTGCTGTAAAAATATATCACGTAGTCGTGAAAGGTTATATGTTTGTTCACAAAAGTCGTTTAAAGGGAGTGTTCCACATTTGTGTGGGTTGTTGAGCTGGAATAGCCGCCCTGAAGATCATCAGGGTCAGTTTCCAACTCGAACCTTCCAAAGACCTAAACCCCTCTAGTTTCTGAGCTCCGCGTCCGCAAAAACCACGCACAATTGTTCGTGCCGTACCATTTCAAGGTCACCCAGGCATTCATGATGTCCCAATAGTGTCATTAAAATACTGCTATACCATTGGCCATGCGGAGATCAAGGTCAATAAATATATAGTTGCCCAGTCGTTTATGACTAGGGTTCGTGAGCACGCTACCCAGATATGACTGCCGCCAATTAGCTCTCCATCAATGTTGTGCGATTGACGAAGACGTAAAAAACAATGATGCATTGGGGAGTATATGTGCTAAATAGAGAACTCGTGCTGTCTATGACAGTCCTCTCTTCTTGAACGTATACCAACAGTTACAAGTAAGCTTTTTCATCACAGCTGATGCTTGCTTCAATATCTTCAAACGTGGAACATTTCGTTCGACATCCGAGGCTGCTAACTCATTACTGGTCCGTTGACCTGGAATCGTATATCATGAACACTTGCCCAAAACGCAAAAAATAAGCACCGTCGTCCCTGCATTGAACGCCGAGCACGCCTGCTCAGGTTTTGTGTCACCACGAGGTACGTTGTCGTATGTATGATTAAAAGCTAGCAAATACGTGTTTTCTAAAAATTTTGACCTTTGTCCTAGAGTAATGGTGCCAATTATTGACTCAGCAAGATAAAACTGGTACCAGTCGCGAGATCTCGCTGAGAACAATTCGCTGGTGTTTTCCGCTAAGCTCTATATTAGTTCGGAGACGTCAGCGGCAGTTGCATCGACCCCGATCGTTCTGTGTTATGAAAAACAATCATGAATTTGACATTTGATGATGAAATTATGAAATTTGATTATGAAATTTAATTATGCATTGCAAATCAAATGCAAATCATTGCAGTGCAAAAATTGCATTATGAAAACGACAGATCAGGGCGAAGGCGAAATCAAAAGTAGCCATTAAAAAGGCATACCTTGTGCACGCATTACCATCACTCAAAACCGAGCTACATGTGGGACGTATGCACAAGAGTTCTTCAAGCGATTGCAGGTTGGGGTACCCCGCCCTTTAAAAGCTTTTGTTTGCACGCAATACAATGACAGTGTTGCATTCTTGAATTACGCAAAACTTCGGGAAAACTTCTTCCTCCCTGTGTCAGAGCCCATGAATGCATCAATACAGATGAAGGTTGAGCAGCCAAATCCCGTTTTCTAATAAACCCTTTCAAGACATTTCCGTAGCGCCAACATTTAGCTTCCACGGAAGTGGAAGGGTCGCCGCCCTGTTTGCCCTGGTCTGAAATGCTCTTTCACAGGGCTGTCCTGATCTGAAAGCCACCGTTACCGAGGCTGTGCTCACCTGAATGACGCCGCCGCCATGGCTGTCCTTGGAGCTGTGCAAAAACTCGTCGGGCAGGCCGATCATCTGGCCCAGCCAGTCCATGACGATCATCTCGAGCTCAGTACAAGCCGGGCTCGACGCCTGGGGACACAAAGCAGCGGCGTCGCGTCCCGAGCCGTCCATACCTTTCCCTTGCGTTTTTCGTGCTTGTTGTGTTGCAAGATGGATAAATAACAAAGTTATTCAGCCGTTCTTGCCGCAGGAGCTCGACTGATCTGGCAAACCGGCTCGGCACAGCTCTGAGATAGCTGACACGGTATATGTCGTGCGCTTCACTGAGTTTCCTTAAGTGGATATGCGTATCCAGAAGCTGGAGAGAAGATTAGTAGAGAGAAGGGCTGGAGAAGCTGGGATTTCGGTTAGTGAGTGAGCGTTGAGAGGGCTGGAGAAGCTGGTATTGCGGTGAGCGTCGAGAGGACCAAGAGACTGGTGGAAACGATGTCACTGTCGTCGGAGAAAAAGCTGCGCTCTGCACTGGGCCAGTCCGGTTTCTACGCCAGGTTTATTGGAGGCTACTCGTCGCTGGTCGACTCGCTACGAGCTCTCCTGCGCTAGGCTGAAAGGGGGCGGGAAATTCCGTTCAAGTGGACGGAGCAGTCGGAGGCCGCCTTCATGCAAATGATAGCAGAGATCACCAATCGCTCAGCACTCTAATATTTGAACCTACTCTGCCGACGGTGGTCTCCACCGACACGTCGGACGTTGGTCTGGGTGTTGCACTCGGCTGGATACAACCGGAGGGAAAGAGAGTTGTGTTTTTTTTGTGTCCGCTGGTCTTTTATCGGCGCGACCCTGGCTGCTCGCTGGGCAGTTGAACACTGGCATCGGCATCTATCCGGTTTGCATTTCATTCTCAATCCGACCACCAAGCTCTGCTGCTGCTGCTGACATCAAGAGGAGTTGGCAGAGCGGGCATGAGGATCTCCAGGCCGGCGAGCCGCTTGCTCGTGTACAACTTCGATATCCAGCATGTGGGTGGCAGGAGCGATCTCATAGACGGTCTCTCACATCCGCCGGCGAGATGGCCGCGCCGCCGGGTAACGAACAGCTGATGGTGGCGGCGGCCACCGACCGTGTGGGGCAACAGTCAGCCGTCAGTCGCACAGAGCTTCGAACTGCTGGCGAGCTGACTCGGTCCTCAAGCCCTCGGTGCAGCATGTGTCAGGCGGGTGGCTAAGGATGTGCAGAGACTGTCCTGCAGTCCTGCAGCCCTTCTTTAGCTGTTGACAGCAGCTGACGGTGGCTGATGACGTCTTCAGGGTCGAGCACGCCTACCGCAGCTGGCAAGTCAGCGGGCTCCCCTCATGCCACCGCTGACAAGTCAGCGGGCCCGCGTCATACCAAAGCCAACAAGTCAGCGGGCTCTCGTCATACTACAGCTGACAAGTCAGCGGGCCCCGTCATGCCACAGCTGAAAAGTCAGTGGGCCCGTGTCATACCACAGCTGACAAGTCAGCGCCCCCCCCCCCCCCCGTCATACCACAGCTGACAAAGCAGCGGCCCCCGGCATACCACAGCTGACAAGGCAGCGAGCCCCGTCATACCACAGCTGACAAGTCAGTGGGCCCCGTCATACCTCAGCTGACAAGGCAGCGCCCCCCCCCCTCCGTCATGTTCCGCCTGTTCCGGTACTTCTGCTCGCTGCACCGTGAAGTAAATTAGGCATTGATTTCATCGGCCCGATTGAGAGATAGAGAGGGGGGAGAGAGAGAAGAGAGAGGGAGAGAGAGAGAGAGTGAGAGAGAGAGTGAGAGAGAGAAGAGAGAGAGAGAGAGAGAGAGAGAGAGAGAGAGAGAGAGAGAGAGAGAGAGAGAGAGAGAGAGAGAGAGAGAGAGAGAGAGAGCACAGAGACGTTTTGCTATTTTCATGGTTGACTAAGTTTCGAAGTGGCCAGAGGTGGCGCTCTGTGCTCATCCCAACTTCGAGTCCGCCTCGACTTATAGAAGTGCAGTTGCAGGCAGGGAGGGTACCCAGAGCAGCTTGTGTGAGATAGTGATACTGTTCTTACTTCTAACAAGTTAGTGGAGTGCCTGAAGGAGGTCGGAGTCTGGTAAGTGCGAGTGACACCGTACCATCCCGATGGAGTCGGTGTCGTGGAGCGTACCAACAAGCTCATCAGGGGAGTTCTGCAGACGGTGTCCTCAGAGGGTAGGGAATGGCTGGTGGTCCTCAGAGATTTTCTCCTCTCGTTTTGCTGCACGTCCCATTCCAACACCGACAGGACTCCAATGGCAGGCCGACAACTGCAGACTCGGCGGCAGGACTCCAGGGGCAGGCCGACAGCTGTGGACTCGGCGGCAGGATTCCAGAGGCAGGCCGACAACTGCAGGCTCGGCGGCAGGACTCCAGTGGCAGGCTCCAGCCGCGGACTCGACTGCACGCGGCGACGCACCCCAGACTGCCCGCTGACGAGGGCGCTACCCGGGAGATAGAGACAAACGAACAACAGCAGTAAAAAAGAATTTGATCACACATATCGGACTCGATCAGTCAGCACCACGTTGGAGACTGAGTCCGATACAGGATCATTTTCCGTCTCAGTTATACGATGGGTTGTGGAGCTTTTGTCCCGTGGAGAGGCTGACTCGGACTGTCGAACGGACAGTGGCTACCCACATGCGTGTTAATGTGTTGCCAGTACGGGCGCAAAGGCCTTCGGTGTCGCTGGCGACGAGGTGCCCTGAAGCAACGACGGGCGGCTCGCCGACGCTGGCCACGGAAGGCTCGCCGGCGCGGGCCTGGGACAGCTCCCTGGCGCGGGCCACCGACGGACCACAGAAGACTCGCCGGCGCGGGCCGTGGATGGCTCACCAGCGCTGGCGGCTGAAGCGACTTGCGGGAGCACGCAGCATTAGTGACTAAATCTGACCAGGTAACCAGACGTCCTGATCGTTTCGGTGATGGTGTTTGATGATACAAGCGTATTTTTTACCTTTCCGTCCTTGAAAGGGAAGGGCAGATGTAATGCCGTACCCCGTCCGCCCCCGCATCTGACAACGGCGGCTCATGATGGGCCGCGGCAGTTGGCCGGTCGGGGTCACGAGGTCATAGCCTGCGGCGCAAGACGAACAGTGACGCCGGGAGGGCGCAGTTTGGACTGAGAACGCGTGCTATCAGCACGCGTTCTCAGCACGTTCTCTCAGCGTTCTCAGCACGCCCAGTTCGCTCTGAGTTGTGTTACGTTAAAGGCAAAAGAAGTCTGATTGCCAACGGACTTTTTGGAGAGTATGAGTGACAGAGATAGTGAGGCGAAATACTGCAATGCTCTAAAGGCCGCGTGGAGGAGAGGGCGTTAGCTCGTTGGAGAAGTGGACACGCCACAGTTCGTCTCCACTGCCAGCTATGTGATTGTCCACTCTCGGTTAAACATATTGGTATTGAATGCACCAAATTTCAGGAAGAATGAAACCCTATGGAGGCCTTATACCGTCAACACAACGTCTAATTCTCTTTCAAATTCATCGTTGGTGATGAACGTCCTTATTTGGCAAACCTACTTTAAAACTTCCTCAGACTAATCAACTTTCACCAAGCAATGATGAGTCCATAAAAAACGTCTTATTCCCATTTTTCCTCACCTACGTAATCATACAGCTGTTTATTTGGATTGATGTGCTCCAGGCGTGTAATGGCCCGATCAGGCCGAAACGTCTCGAAGCAAATACAACGTAAACTGTGAAATGCTGAATCAAGACACTTGAATATACCGTCTACAGTGACGCCGACATTTGGATCTTCATGAACCGTTCCGCTCTCGGGGACGTGTTTCCCTATCCATTAGTCCGCGGCGGTGCACCCGAGGTGTCGCCACCGATGCCTCCGATTGAATCAGCACAACAGCGCAGAAGTACTAGTCCCGGCCGCAATCAGCTAGCTGACAGTACGAGTTCTGGGGTGCAAGCATGCGCGCTGATGTGGTCCTGCACGGGGGCGTTGGTTATCTGCTGACACTTACCATGGCAACTACTGACGACGATCTCTGTCGTCGCAGAAGATCGCTTTCAGTGCGACACAAGGAGTCCGATCACCAGCAATTTGACAACTAACCCAAATCACGGCTTATGTGAGCCAGATAAAATCGCTCCAATCGTGAACCGAAGCATGGACGCAGTGATGTTGTATAAGCCTGTTATAAGGCACTTAGGGTTGTCCCCACATGCAGCAGCTTCGTGTTTGCAAATTAAGTGTGTGGTAATTATGTTCTTTGCGTGGGGAAGCCCTTCGGAACAACTCCTAATGAGCTACGAAACGCAATCCTTAGGCACGAGCTTGTAAACACGTCGCTGACACTCGAGTAGGAATATGGCTTTTCAATATCATTCGGAAGGTTAAGCTGGGTGAAGACGACTGAACCTTGGCGATGAGAACAATGGCGTAGACGCGTTTTGACAGTCATATTGTAGACGTTTGTTGTTTGTATTTGTTTCCGTTTGGTCACAAGTGACCAAATCTTGCCGCCTGCTGAAGCCTTTTAATTGACATAAATCACTCGCTCGTTTGTTACTTTCTCGTTAATAAGTCTCTCTCCCGCATTAGTATTATACGCGAAACGGGTTATTTGCCTGACATCGCCACCGGCAAACCAAGCAACGGCGATGATATCTCCGATCTCCTCATCGCTCTGTATCTCTTGCGTCCGAGACGATAAACACGCGATGAGACACACGAGATTGAGTCATAAACTGCCATTGCGGTCAGTCGTGTTTACTGCGGCGTTTTCGGCGCCGGTCACGCCATTCAGAAATCCCTTGGGATGAGGTAAAGCGAACGTAAAGCTTCCCTTTATAGACCGGCCAGCGGCAACTTGGTCCATCAGTCAGCCCGGCTTCGTTCGGCTGTGCTTCGCTATTAGCCCGTGCGATGGGATTTCCTTTATGTGCGTTACGTGCCGGCTAAAAGCTTTTTGCAGAATTCAGAGGGTTACGTTCAGTGCGTGCGGGGCAACATTTGACGACTTTGATCATGACAGAGTCGAGGCCGGCGGGTAATGCACAGTTCCCAGTCGCTTTTTCCGGCTAATGTGACTAGTGAATGCGGCCCTCAAGATTCCGGCAACGTCCGCGCCTCCGCGGATGTTGCAGAAAGCGAACAGCATCGTCTGGCCCAGCCATCCTACTGCTTCGACTGTGCACAGACGCCAACGCCGGTGACAAATGATCACAGGCATGCAACGCTGCTTTCTCCGATTTTTGGTTTGTGGTAAACCATCAGCTATTTCGAACAATGGCTGCAGCAGTTGCTTAAGATCCTTACGTCGTAACACAGGTGGGCGCTGAGTTATGGATCTTTGAAGACATCTTGAAGGGTATCCGCCAAGAGCACACTTTAGTGTAGGATTCGGTACTCACCCATGTAAATCCCAAGCATCCTGAAAAGCCCGAGAACAGATAATAAGTGGCGTGAAATTAATACAGATGGCACTAACACATATCTCTTCCTGTGCTGCGTCACGCAAATGACACTTGCGTCCAACCAGTAACACTGCTTAAGAAGTGTATATAAACAACTGCGTTGTGCTTTTCGATGAAGTATCACAAAAAGACATCTTAAAGCGTAAGCTATCCTACCCATGTTCCCACGTATTCGTTACTCTAGGCGTCGCGCCACATTCCAGCATGTGCCGATTCAGGCCTTATGTTCGCGAAGCGCCGTACTTTGGTGAATATTTGAGCTCAACAATTGACCGTTTCGAGATCTCCGCTCGCCAGGGGGCTCATAACGCAATGCGAATCGGTCAGCGCCGACGGACTCATAACGCAATACGAACCGGTCAGCACGATGTTGTCACGTCTGTCGACACTGCCAAAGGCGATCAGCTGAGCAGCACTATGGCTGGCACCAGGCCTGACGGGTCGGGCCGCAGGCCCTCGCCCCTCGCGCCACTGACGGGCCACTGAGCGGCACTGCGGCTGACGCCAGGCCTGCCGGGTCGGGCCGCAGATCCTCGCCCTTCGCGCCGCTGAAGGGCACTTACCCATGGCGTTCGCGAGCATGTCCCCGAGCATGGACGGTGGCGACGTCAGTGCCGGGAAGTACGCGTGCATGTACGGACTCTGCCAGTGGGTCACCTGTTCAGAGGGGACGTGTGGTTATGTACGGGCCAGTGGGTCACCTGTACGCAGAGGGCGTGTGGTCATGTACGGGCTCTGCCAGTGGGTCACCCACACTCAGAGGACGTGTGGACATGTACGGACTGTGCCAGTGGGTCACCTGTATACAGAGGGTATGTGGGCATGTACGGACTCTGCTGCACGCACAGGCCGAATGGGCATGTAGAGGTTCTGGCAGTGTGTCACCTGTATGTATCGGACGAGTGTACGGACTTGGCCGTTGTATAGTCTGTATATGCAGACTCGCAACGGAGGTGCACCACAATCGTCATCAGATTTAAAAGAAACCTCTAGGTACAATGTCTGCTTGTGGTCTTTAAAGTATGCCGGCTATTTGATTTGAAGCTTTGACGCTGGAAAATGGCAAGATTATCTTCATAATCAAGCGGGTGCTCGGTGGCACGGCTTAAACCACTGACAAGCACCTCATTGACGCTTACTGGAACGGCCATGAAACCAAAGAGGGGCGCTGCTTTCACTCGCTAGGTGTCGACGTGATGTGGTATTCAAACGATTTGCCCCGTTTTGAGGAATTTTGTAGGAGTAAAGCTCATCAGCAGACCACTGCAATTAGGTACCAACTACAATTAGGTACCAACTGTCGATAGGTACACCAAGGACCAACTTCTCACACCACTTTACAGGAAAGAGCTCGCCTTGGGCAATCATTAACTTATCTACGTAAGCTCTCCTGTAGGCCCCACGAAGTCACATTCCGTATGTACAAATGTGGTGATTTAAAACAAGCTTATATGGTGCAGTCCCAAAGTATCATGCATAATTCATGCTTCGACACGGAAAGAACGGATGTTGAGCCCGCCTTACTGCTGCTTACCTTTAGTAGCGACCGGCCTGACACTGTTATGGTTTCATGGTGAGTGCCGCGCTCTGCGGGGAGCGTACTTATGGCTTCGGCGTGCGTCATCTAGTGCTCCAGCGACTCTCATCGAACCACGTCATTCTCCCGGGGTACATGACCGTACATGTCGCATGGCTACCGGTTCATGTACATGACATGTACATGACCGTACATGTCGCAACGGTAACTGTTAACGGTTAGATGGGTAGACTCCCTGGACATCCAGATCAAAACCCAGCACGAAAATGACCAGGTAATTACCCCTTCGACTTGTGTGACTGTACAACCCTTACTAACACTGTGAATGAGTGGTTGTAGCTTATTGGGTGGTTCTAGCGGGCTGTCATTAGATGACTTTGGCTAATGATTACTTTGAGCCTTCTCATGTATGATTTTTCGTTGCCTATTACATAACACAATTCCTTCGGGTCTGCACCACCTCTTCGCCTGCCTCTTAACGTTTGTTTCGTTTTCCTAGCTGGGAGTGCCGCGACTTGATTTTATGTTTTCTGGTTTAACGTACGGCTTATTGCGTCGCTGGGATAGCGGGAGGACACTCCTGATTACCAGGTGTTGGGTAACGGTATAGAAAAAAAAAGAAAAACGGTCCTAAATGCTGCAGCTTAATGGAACGCGGCGTCGAGTCCCCACATACGTAAAATGGCCTCGTTAGGCCGCAGCGCCTTAACTCGAACAAAGCAAAGTAAAATATATCCCCATGCATTCCACTCGATGACGTCACCGACCCACCTCCAACATCGCTGAAACATGTCAACTCAGAACATCCGCGCTCATACACTCGGACATCGCGAAGCTGGACAATGTGTACGCCGAGTGTGACTGGTCTGACGTGACTGTCCCGACTCCACTGGCATCGCGCCACCCACTCCAGACATGACGTCACTCCTATAAGCATTGACATGACAACTGCATCCCAATCTCCCCGGGGTATGTCAGTTGCACCTCACCGTAATGAATCCTGTCCTGACACGTCTCCCATCTCTCCCCAGAAATCACGTTACCAACCTCACCCCTGGAATGACATCGCCCTCCACTCCCCCCGCCCTCCCCCTCCCCAGCCACGATGACGCCATCCAACTCTCCTCGTGGTGGCGCCATCAAACTCACCCCAGGCATGATGACGCGCTCAACGTCGGCCATGACGTCAGCCCAGGGCTCGCCCCGATTGGGTGCCTGCGGCGGCACGAGGTCGCACATGTAGCCGGGCTTGACGTCCGGGAACACGCGACGGTCCCGGATGCCCTCCAGGTAGTCGGCGATGTAGTCCACCATCTCCTTCCCTGAGAGGCCGACGCGGGTAAAACCGGCTCGCTGCGGGCTCAGTAACGGAATGCGGAGAAAGGTTGCGCACCTCACTGTCGAATAACGTGTGGACATCTCATATCGAGGGGGGAATTCTATCTCTGTTTGATGGGAGACTACCAGGCCTCTGAGGTCCAGCCCCAAATGTGTCTGCGTTTTGGCATGGCACTATGAACACCATGTGGAAAATCTACCTCAAATTTTGATGTACCTGAATCACTTGAAACGTCTACGCTTGACTAATACACTGAAAAATGTAAATGTAAAGAGTTTTAACTTTGTGATATGAAAGCTATCAATCTGTGCTTTTATGACGCCTTATTCGTGCCAATATGCACCTACGCTTGGGAACAACCTGATATGACCCATAGCACCCAGCAGAAATTTTCAAACTTAATACATTCATGACGGAACATGACTTTCCAAAACATTCTCTAATGTTTGCAACAATTCGCGTAGTGGGCATAGAACACTATAGTGCAACTCGAAGGTTGTATAAAACAAAGTAGCAGCTCAGTGCCTGTGGTACAGCGCATGTGAATGACCGTCACGAGTAAGGAAGCATACTGAGAGCCGGCGAACAGAGCTTAAAGCCCGATATGTCTGCACCTCTGAAAACTTGTCCAGTGACTGTACATCACAGTGCTCCAGACAGAATCGCTTGCATAGCATACTCAGCAGGAATGAGACTGCCAGCTTATCTGGCGAAGACTCAGTGAAAGGAGACCCGCGCTCACGATCTTGAAAGCTCGACCCGTCTAAAAAAACATGTTTCCAGCGTGTGGCAACTAACAGCCAGAGGTTGTCCTTAAAGGGTACTACACGTTTCCACCTACCAAAGAAATGCTTACCGCGGATCATCCACGCTGGAAGCCAGAGCCATAACCGACTTCACCACTTCTGGTGGTACAGCGCATGTCGATTTTTCTCCACGTAGCATTTATTGCATGGCTGGTGTTTTGCGTATATTCGGTGCATTGCCCCGTTCCCATTTTTCCTTTCCCAATGGGGTCTCCGGCAACACAAGAGCTGCTTAAAAAGTTGAAACTAAGAAAAGTATGCGCCCTTCCTCCGAAACAAATCTGTCTTGCCGTCAATTTGCGTCATCCGCGCTGAAAGCTTTTTTTGGAAGCAAAAGCGTCAAAAAATTGACTTGCCGTCAACTCAGGGTTCACGTTTGGGCCCATGCATGTTATTCCTGTTTCTTTAGTCACCTCAAACGGTACCCACCTTTAGTTCTGTATTCCGCGTAGTCCATTTTCTCTTCAGTAGAGTTGTTGTGGCGGATGCTTGAGTGTCTGTAAACGCAACAGACATACTGTGATTACCATTGCATTTCTTATTGCTCTTATTACATGATATCATTGTAAGCAGTGGTGTGGACAGGTGGCACAGGGTGCCCGTTCCCCCCCCCCCCCCCCCCAACCTTTAGATTCCAAGGGGTCCTTCGGGCCGAAGCAAAGGGTCGTGACCTGGAATATCAGTCAGAGAGTCTCTTAAACGGTTTGAGGTCCCCCCCCCCGAGACAACGGTGTCCATTTCCTAAGCAGGAGCAGTCAGAGCCAAAATTTGCCTTGGTCTAGGTCCCTGAAACAGTGGCCGGGGCCCTGTGTCGGTCAGGGGCCTACAGTGCCTTACATGGGGTCATGTGTCGGCTAGGAACCCCTTGGGCCTTGTTGGAAAAGGTCAAAAGAGGGGCCGAAGAACGCCTCGGGATGAAAGATAAAGGCCTCGATTGGACTCGGGCCCGCGCGTCCCCCCACCCCCACCCCACCCGTAGTACCGTAACCTGAAATATCAGCCAGAGGGCTTCCATTGGGGCCCTCTTATTAGAGCTCCCTACTCCCATTATAAAGGGCCTTGACACGAAGCTAAACGGTCGGCTTGGTGTCCGTATAGTCCTTACGTCCCTCTTGCTAAGCAGGAACGAGGCCGGTGCCCGCAATTTGCAATGTTTGGGGTCCCTGACGCAATGAGGGACTCCCGTGTTGGTCAGGGGCCACAGTACCTAACAGGAGTCATGTGGTGGTAAGTGGACCCCAGAAGGTCAGAAAGCGTGATGAGGGGGAGCTGTGAGAGGCCGGAGGGTCTCTCGAGACCAAAAATATAGGGCCCGATTGGAAGGCTGAAGGGTTCGAACAACCGACCGTAGGTCACATTAAGGACGTCCTCCACCCCCTACCGCAGGGTCGTGATCTCGAATGTCAGTCAGAGGGCCTTTTGTCCCGGTTGGGGGCTCCTGAAAAATGCGTTTCTCTTTTTCGGCCAGAGATCACCAACATCGAGCAATGCGCTGCATGTCGGTCTGAGCTCTGTGGGCGCATTTCCCAAGGAGGGAAAAGGCCGGCCCCGTGATTTACATTGATCGGTTCCCCTGCGACAATACGGGGCCCCAAGATTGGTCAGGGGACCGCAGTGTCTAACAAGTTATCCTGTGTCAACAAGGGGCCTCAAGTTGGCCAGGGAACTTTGCTGAACAGGGACGTGGTCTGAGCCCCGAATGCCAGAGAGCCCTTGCGTGGTCGGGGTCTTCTGACAATGGGGAAAAACATGAAAACTTATGATGAGTGTTTACATTCAGATAATGGCAGGGTCCTGTACCAATCAGGATCCCGCAGCACGGAACGGCGGCCCTTCCTACCCAATTCCAACATCGGCCCGTTAAGCCGAACTGAAGTCTATGTGCCAAATATTGGACCACCTATGGCGATCAGGAGTCTTGTTGCATAACGAGAGTTCCTTCGTCGACCCGGTGCCAACCGTGCGGGTCAAAAGGCCTCCCACGTCAGGGAGGGGGCTAATGTGATCTGACGTATCCCTCCGAGGGTCTTCGCATTGACCTTGGGATCCCGCCCCCGTGGGACCAGAATGATGGTCGGAAGACAACCCGGGGTTGGACGTAATGGTCATTTAGCCCTTACCGGGAACAGTGCCCCTAAAGTGCCCCTAGTGTTCTACTCAATGGGAATCTTTAACCGAAAAAAGCAACGGGTCTCATTCGTGTTGAAATGAATAGGTCGAAATAAGCTGACAAATGAACTAGGTCATTTCATGTCTGAGAATTTTCGCTGTTTTGCGGCATCGACTAGTGAAGCAAATCACATCCAAAGGCTTGGCTTGTGCGCATACAGCATCGGGAGCAAGGAAAACGATGGCTGGGGTTGCAGTTTCCATACAAGCAAATGGAGTTGACCACTGCAAGTAGCATCTGGCAACGGGTGCCGTGCGTGCGCGAGCGACCGTCGTGGGACACTCTTCGGAATGTCTTTCAAAATTAATTCGTACTGTTTAAAGATGGGACTGGGTGTGTTTTTACAACTTTGGGGTTCTCCTCGCTACAGGTAAATAGTTACGGCAGCACGAAAAATATAGATTCTTCCTTTACTCATTCTGATCCACCACCAGATTCCAGCACCACTTGGCGGTGTTGTTAAGGTCAATTCGTTCTTTAAATCTGAAAATCGTATAGGTGAAATATACGCCCGCACTACCTTCTTGATGTACGATTTGATGTCCTAAAACGTTCAAAGGTTCGTAAAGTAGGGACTGCATTTAAAATGGTTATGACTAGGCACAGGCATATTTTGGCCTCCAGCGCGCTTTAACCGCAAATAGTACTTTCATTTCACATGCATTAGAAATGCACAGATAAGAGCGTCAGTTAAATGTGTCATCTAATGAATGAATTTTTAGGACGTCTGCAATATCGATACAATGCCGTTTCGGACACCCCGTCTCGGCGCAGGCTAACCGCGTCTTGGCATCATCTCTACCAATACGACCCTCCCGGCTAGCGGCGAGGTCATGTGGTTACAACGCATGCACCCGGTACTAAATAGCCCTGGGATACGAGCGGGCAGGCGCATTGTGCCGACGCTCTGGGGCGGGCATGACTGGGACGATGAGCGGAGCTGCTTCATTTTTGAACATGGTAAGCATTGTAGACTTATGCGCGGACTGATAGTTTGTAAAAACGGCCAGTTGAAAAATTGTGTAGATCTAGCAAATGCAAGGTATGCATGTTTTGTACCAATATGCATGTGTTTGAAACATCATAGGGCAGTGAAATATGGCCTTCCGAGTTATTCGTGTTTGGAGTACGTCAGCACCAATCGCGGCATCAACGGACAGCAGTTGGCTTTCAACCAGGTTAAAGCGTAAATCGAAAGTTTCGGACAACAACTGTTTTTTGTGATGCAGAAGTTTGGGCAGCGATTAATTATGATGGAAATGAGGCTGAGAATCGAATAACTTAGAATATTTTTGCAAATGATGAATAAAAACACCACGAGAAAAGGCCAAAGCACGCGCGCAAGTGGGATGAACACAGAGGCAACTAAGGTAGGAACCAAAGAAACAGATGTTGTTAAAATTAGTTGAATAACAATAAAAATAATACAATAATAGAATATACATCATATAAACAATGATAACAATAATAATGATGAATAATAACACAAATTAGAGTTCGTTGTTAGAACCAAACTCTGAGTTTGATTATTGCAGTTGAGCTATCGAATGTCAATGGCATTGCGTGAAAGAGCCATTTCATTGCCAATGTTAAAGCCGTCTAAACTCTTTTTGCTTCTAGCGGTCTCAGCGCATTGATCCGTCGTGAAAACAGTGATAACCAAGATAAATTATATATATATATATATATATGTCAGATAAAATGTAAGCCTCGGACTGCGTTCTAAGCGTAGGAAGTGACGTCTAAAAGCATTCAAAAAATGCATGTTTCATGCAGACCATTATTTCCGTTCCTCCAATGGCCACCGCCCATTGTTCGCAGCAAGGCAAACCCCTCGTGGCTGACGGAGACTGCAACACTGGATGTCGATTATTTGTTTCTACGGCTTGCGAGCGCGCATGTTCAAAGCTATGTTGCCTAATTTTTTTCACTCATCGGTTCTGACTAAGGGTAAGACATCCCACACGAACATGGGTCGGCCATTTCGATACAAAGTGACCCCATTTCCCTCCACAATCTACGTCCACGGTGTCGTCAATATTTCTGTAGAACACGTGCAAATCGACAAAGCCTCTAAATCCTATCGGCTTATAAAGAGCTCGGCGAACCATCACTAAATAAATAGCGTCAGCAGATTTTTCC